CGATGGGCACGGTCTGTACAAAAGCATGTGTGATGAGATAAAACTATGTTGTTCACCGATGATGGTTTGTGTGATGTTATCTAGATGGAATTCCGCTGACGGAAATTTCTTCCAATGTACCTGGAAAATACATTTTGATAGCCTTAAGCGCTTGTAGAGTCTGCCTCGACTGTGCATGAGAGTAACATGATGATCTCGATGGATCTTTGTCTTCTGATTAGCACTGACAAGAGCGAAATCATGTGACAGAGTGGAGACGGCCTTCGGTTGCGTCAAATCAGGCCGGGATCTCAACATCCGCCTTCTCTCTCCAGGTCCATTATTGTCTTTTTTTTATGACCCCAATTGCTGGGAGAGGAGGAGGAGGAGTGAGCACAAAAGAGTCAATCAATTGTCCTCCTATTCCCGCTTACCATGAAAGTCCCCTCCGTCGTATCATCTCTCCTCCTCCTGGCCGGCACCACCACCGTCACCGCCGCCAGCGTCTTGGGGAAATCTCCGCACCCCGCATCTCCACATAGTCAACCACAGCAGCTACAGCAACAGCAGCCATTGCAAGCGACAAGTGAGGATGCAGGCTCGTTTGCAGACAAGCACGATTTGAATCGCATCATTGACCAGTCCCCGTTACTTTCGTTCCATCGGGATATCGTCAAGATCGAGTCGATCTCCGAGAACGAGGCCGATGTCGGGGACTTTATCATCCAATTCCTGCAGGAGCGAGATTTCAAGGTCGAGAAGCAGGTGATTGAGGAGACTGGAAGCAATAATGAGAGTAAACCACGCTTCAACATCTACGCCTATCCCGCTTCGAATGGTCCTCCGAAGATCCTCCTGACGAGTCACATCGACACCGTTCCCCCGTTTATTCCGTACTCTCTGGACTTACCTACCGGCTCTGCTTCTGCTGGTAAAGTTCGACGAGAGGATATCCTGATCTCCGGTCGTGGCTCCGTGGATGCCAAAGCCAGTGTTGCTGCCCAGGTCTTTGCCGTCCTCGAGTACCTGGAGAAGGACCCGGACGCATCCCTGGGCCTTCTCTTTGTCGTCGGGGAGGAAAGAAGCGGAACGGGGATGAAGTATTTTTCGCAATCGCCCCTCAACACGTCCCCGCCGACATTCCACACCGTGATCTTTGGTGAGCCCACCGACCTGGCCCTGGTGTCGGGCCACAAGGGAGCGTTGGTGTTCAAAGTCACTGCCAAGGGCCAGGCCGCCCATTCGGGGTACCCCTGGCTCGGCCGTAGCGCCGTGTCTGCCATCCTGCCTGCGTTGGCGAGGCTCGATCAACTGGAGGATATTCCCGTGGAGGATGGCGGTCTCCCTTCGAGCGAGAAGTTTGGCAAGACAACGCTGAACATTGGGCATGTGGTAGGGGGCGTGGCGCCCAACGTGGTGCCTGCGTCTGCGTACGCCGAGGCCATCATGCGTCTGGCGGTTGGAGATGTGGACCTGATCAAGGAGATCATCCTCAAGGCGGTGCATGATAGCACGGGCGGTAACGAGGATGTGACCGTGGAATTCATCAACAACGGGACGGGATATCCGCCTGTGGACTTTGACACCGACGTGGACGGGTTCAACGTCACGACGGTGAACTATGCGACCGATGCGTTCCACCTGCACCTTCACGAGGGGTCTGGTGGAAGCCGGCATGGTCGTGTTCGACGGTATCTGTACGGGCCGGGCAATATCTTGTCGCGCACGGCGACCACGAGGGGCTGCCTGTGTGGCAGATTGAGGAGGCAGTTCGGGGGTACAAGAAGCTGATCGATGCGGCGATTGAGCGAAACAGGCAGTAGATCTGCCGGTTTATATAATATATTTATACTGAGGACATTGTCTTTTCTCGGCCTTCACTGCTGTTGCTGGTGCAGTGGCTATATCACAGTCTAACTATATGCCTACCCAAGACGGAAGAGAATCTCTCTGTTACAGATATGATATGTATTTGTGTACCCCTCATCGTAGTCACGATGCTGTGCTATGTTGCTGCCATTTTCTGAATAACGGCCTATACCTACCTATCCATCTATCTATTATATATCAAGCATTCAAACTTATCAGACAACGACAACTCAATGACCTCCTATCAGGAGTCCTTCTCTTCATAACCTATTTACATCAACATAGGAATGATTGCAACGCCAGATGTCAGTAGTTAAGGAGAAAAACCAGAAGTTGATTAAGAATGGATTTCGCTCGGTACATTATATTATATATGTATATATACAGAAAAAAAAAGCTAAAGTCAAGAAAGGCAACGTGGAATGGAGGAGGGAAAAAAAATCCCAATCCAATCCAATCATTGCAATCGGAATCCCTTGCAGCCAGCCAGCCATGCTATGCTACGCTATGCTATGCCATGCCATGCTATGCTATGCTGTTGCCAAACTCGCCTCGCCTCGCTTCGAGACACACCCATCTACTACTCAGACTCAGTCTGCAGATTCTTCTTCTGCCGGGGTTTCCTCTCCCACCGGGTCTTCAGATCACCGCTCGGCTTGAACCGCGGTAGCGGATGAGCTTCTGTGTTGAAGACGGTCTCCTCCAGCGGGATGAAGTCGCGGTCGGAGAAGAGCAGGTAGAAGTACTTCAGCGTCTCGGCTAGCCAGAAACTCTCCATGTTGTCCCTCGTGACGGGCGGGACGATGTTGGCGTTGGAAAGGGAGGTGAAGCCCACGATTCGGGAGCGTGGTTTCTTGCTCTCGTCGTCGTTGTCGTCTTTGGCCTCGTGAGGTGAAGGCTCGTCCGTCTCCACGACGGCGGTGTGTTTCACGAACGATTTGAACATCTCCCACCCCCAGTTCCGGTACATCTCGTCGCCTGTGATGCGGTACATGTAGAACAGCGATTCTGCCGTCTCCGGGCGCTGCAGATTGTGCACATCCTGTGCGTGGATATTGATGTCCTTTTTCCACGAGGGCGTCTCGTCGTCAGCTGCATCCAGAGGCTGCGAAATCAGATCGAGGTCCTTCTGCTTGTACTTGCTCGGTTGGTCCTTGTCCCCCTTGATGAGGGCAGAGTCCGGATATACATCGGCCATCATCCGCGGCGGATCGTCGACCTCGAAATACGTAATCTCCGGCGCGAGACCCGTGGCGGTCGCCAGGTATGTGGCCCAGCACGTCTTCATCAACTCCTTCGCCAGCAGAATCTCCTCGTCCTGCCGTGGGCCCCAGTCCGGCGACTTCTTCGCCACGGACAACGGCAACCCGCCAGTCGCGCCCAGTGCAATCGTCCCTGGCAGGAAACAGACAAGGTGGTCCATTTTGGGGAGCAGTGCTCGATGGAGTCCATCAGGTCTTTCGGCCAGCACCGTCAAGTTCGCGTGCTTGGTGTAGGTGATTAGGTGCTTGCAAATGCCCATCAAGGCTTCATCCCACATCTCCTTGTATATCGGCTCCTGCTTGGAGGTCTGCAAGTACTGTTTAATGAGGTATTCTGCGGGAAAAAGGATTTAGTAACAAATCGCAACGAAAAGGGGGGAAAGAAAGCAACATACCATAGTAAGAATCACCCCTGCTACCCAGTCGGATGTTCTCTCCACGGAATTGGCCCGTATCCGCATAGATGAAAATCGGAAGTAAGCCGTCTTCCCTCTCTTGGTCATCAACGACCTTCATCACTTTTTCCACTGCCTCCCAGTATTCTGCCTCCCCGGTCAGTTTGGCGAGGTACTTGAACTCCAGCTGCACCGACGTAGCTTCCGCCGTCGACGAGGCACCGCCATCCGCGTGTGATGGAATTCCAACCGATGTATTCAAGTTCACACTTGCGTAGGGAACCCCAGAACGGGATTCAAACGCACCGAGCAGTCGGTCTGCTAGATCAGTTGCCTTTTCAATGTAGAGGTCCTCGCCGGGGGATCCAACATCATCATCGCTGATCGGCGCCAACTGCGGGTATGTGGTAGACAGATAATGCGCAGAGAGTAGCCCACCAAGCATGCGAATGGTCGTCTCGAAGGTGCTGACGTCGTGGTCTTGATTATACCGTAGCGAATTGTGTATCCAGTCACGGGCGTCTTGGACTCGCGAAGTCAGATTCATGATCATCATCGTATCCAGTGCATCGACAATGATCCAGCCCATGCCGTCTTCGATCATATGGCGGCCTTTCTTTGAGATGGGCCGATACTCGTCGTAACCTATCCATCAATCAGTCAGAATCTAACAGGCATGCCGTACCTTGTCTGGTTACCTACCCCAAGCATGCTTCGCATATCCGTCCCAACTGACCACAAACACGTCTTTGACTTTTTCTCTCCTGGCTTCCCAATCAATTCGCTTTGGTTTCTTGGTCTTCTCGGCCTCCGAGTCCAGACTTTGTACCCAGTTCCATAACTCCTCGCCTGTCGCGGTGCTCGACCTGACATTTCGTACATCTTCCCGGCTAGCAAACCACACCCATACAAATGCGATTAGGAATAGACCAGCAATCACATAGAGGACCTGCCTCTGCACTCGTTTAGGGGCCGTGCGCCGCGGCGCAAAGTAGGGTTTATCCTTGTACATCGGAAGGTCACGACCACGGCCGAAGAAGGTACTTAGTCTCCTCGCGCCGCTGCCGACACCACTACTTTGGGACTTGGAGAGCCCGTATCCCCCGAGACCACCATTATTTTTTGCAGCAGAAGGGCGCCAGTAGCTATCTTCGAGGGGTCGTTGGGAGGAGGAAAAGGAAGGGATATTCTGAGGAGGCTGAAATGACATGGCCGCTGTGCTCCCCCTTTTCCTCACTCCCGGTTCAGGAGAGGATGGGGATCGGTTATAAGCGCTCTCAGCTTGTCGAGAGATCCTATTCTATCCAATGCCCGTAAGACCGCGTTCCAAGTTCCTCTGTTTGCGATTGCAAGAAGCGCGCCAGATATTCGCGACAAATTCTAAGCGTAATCGTGCGGCCGGAAAGGAAGGAGAATAAAGTCTATGTCCATTCAAAGAAAAGGTCAGTTTCATGAACCATTTGTTTGAGAAGGTAGAGGGAAGAGAGCGCGCAGTTCAAACCTCCGAAGTGCCACCAAATGGAGCTACTAACCAGCCGCACAAGATTTCCCACACTCCAGGCGAATTTTCCAGATTCTAGCTTCCTTTCCAAACGCAAGCAGCACGGGAAATTAAAAAAAGGGGCCCCGATATTTGTTGGTTAATGAATCTGTGGGCTCAGGCATGTACTGTGTCGCCGCGGTGCAGACATTGGAGCTTGTCTGTTTCGCCGCGGAGAGCTCTCGGGGCGCGCTTGGCTGGTGCGCAGGAATGCGGAGCTATTAACTTCTATGGCATGAAAGACAATGTTGTGCAAAAGAACCGCTCATATACACGGGCAGGCAGATGTGAACCCTTTTGTTGGTTACAGATGGTCTGGGGGCTAGAGAGATCTGGTTACGTGGTCGGTAAGCGCCGCGACTCGCGTTGGCTAAGCGACCATTGCCTTCAGCTACATTAAACAAGTCCCAGCACGTTTCCCGACAGTCAATTACTCCCCAAGCTGTCTATGTAATTTACATAAAGCAGATCAAATCCGACCAAGGGATTCATTCATAAATAAAGTGGCAAAACATGTCATGACAATCACAGTTTCTGGTACTCCAGCTTGCCCTCCAGCTTCTTTGCTTCCGCAACTTTGCGAACAGCCTTATTAAAGTCATCTTGATTGATCGCATCCCGCTCATCCTTGATGGCGAAAAATCCCCTAAAACAGAAAGCTTTAGTAATGGGATCAACTTTGGGAAAACAGGGCAAGAGACATACGCTTCAGTCACAACATTCCGCAGGTCAGCTCCGTTGAGGCCGTCACTCATCTTGACAAGGCTTTCAAAATCTATCTCTCCCTCTGTCCTCACAGTGCTGGCGTGGATCTTCAGAATCTCCAGCCGGCCCACTTCGTTCGGCAGCGGAATCTCGATCTTACGGTCCAGTCGACCGGCACGAAGGAGCGCGGGGTCGAGTGTGTCCGGTCGATTCGTGGCCATGATGATCTTTGTCTTTCCGAGATAGTCGAACCCGTCCAGCTGGTTGAGCAATTCCATCAATGTTCTTTGGATTTCGCGGTCAGCGGAAGTTCCCTCTGAGAATCGTCGCCCTCCGATAGCGTCAATCTCGTCCATGAAGATGATACAGGGCTCGTGCTCTTTTGCATATCCGAACATCTCTCGTATTAATCGTGCTGATTCACCGATATATTTGTCGACGATAGCGGACGACACCACTAGAAGCATCATTAGTAACGTGACGATCTGTAGCACTCTGTAAAGCCACTCCTACCCTTCAGGAAGTTCGTTTCCAACGAGCTGGCTACAGCTCTTGCGAGAAGTGTTTTTCCTGTACCAGGAGGCCCATAAAGCAACACTCCCTTCGGGGGTTTGATGCCGACCCGCTGGAAGAGCTCCGGATTCTTCAGCGGCAGCTCGATCACCTCTCGTAGTTCTCTGATCTGCTCATTCAGGCCACCGATACCAGCAAAGCTAACCTGACCCGGATCTTCCAGAGACATGTTGTACACCAAGGGGTCAACCTCACGAGGTAACATCCGCATGATCGTGAGCGTCGTCATGTCAAGGGCGACACGAGTGCCTTGCTTCAATTTCGACTTATCGACCTTAGAGCGACACCCAACGACATATCTGGGGCCAGAAGATGCTTTGACAATGACTACTCGCATTAGCTTGCCATTCGTCTCAGGCGCTAGCACCGCAGGTAAGGTCGAGACTCACATCGTTCCTCATCGAGCTGCTTCAATACCTCCCCAATGATCTGGCCGACACTCTGAAGAGCCTTGATGTTCTCCTCCGTCACATCATATTCTTTCTGGAGGTCTCTGATTCCCATGCGCAACGATTTTAACTTTGCCTCCCACTCTCGCAACTCCAGCAGGCTCTTCTTGTAATCCTCGAGGGCTTGCGCCCTCTCGGGGTCAATGTTACCGTTCATGATGAGGGAGGGGAATGAGGACAGACAGAAGCGATGAAGTAGAGATCGATTAGGAGGAGAGAATAGGATAGGAGATCGGAAGGAATTTCAAACCCTGGCGAGAGAGATGGTCGAGGATGGCGACGGAGGTTGGGTATGGCTGTCAAAGGGAGCTTCCTGCAAGCTCCCGCTGGTTCGGACCGCTGACTGGACTCTGTTCCTCCGCTGACGATGGTGAAGGGTGCCTGCCGGTCACATGACTTCATCCCGCCAGTTCTGATTATGTAACATATCGATGCTCACTCATGTCATGTGACCAATAAAACAAAAGGTGCAAACATGATACCAGCATTGATGCCCTACGGCCAAGGCAGAAACAGGCATCAACTGCGCTCCTCCGCATCTCTCCGATGGAAATGCGGGAGATTTCGCTGGACGAAGACATCTGACACGGCCCAAGTGCTTCATCGCTGCCAGACAGATTCCTGGAAAGCATCCGAGGAGGCCTCTTGCCCCACAATGAACTCAGCGTCAACATCGTCGACCTGGGTACATTCGGGGAAGAGCGGTACCTTGGGTGTCGCATGGGGGGTGTGTGGGTGTTTGTATTTTCCGAGGAGCTTGCTATATAGAGGCGGGACTCCTCTGCCCCGAGGTATAGATGTACTTGTCTTAAGTCATTGTATTTTCATGCCATTCTGCTACTTGGATACTCATTGCTCTTCCATATTCAGCCCCGGTCCTTCTAACTGCTGATTATATAAAGTAAGTGCACGATTTGTATATTACAGCCCGCTCTTGAGATCATTACCCCGCCATCCCACCTACCCGTATGAACCCCTCCCTGTACAAAAACAAACACACACAAGACGGCCAGATCATACTGGGTCGTATGGATTGGCCAAAAGTTATATAATCAGTCCAGAAAAAAGCCACCAGGCAATCATTCTGGTTGATCAATTGACGGTATCGGTCGCGTCACGTTGCGTGTTTCAGTGACCTCTCTTTTTGGGTCGTCGGTGAAGCTCCCGCGCTTTTAGTCGGTCTCGCCAACAGCTTTTTTCCCTATATCATCACAATATTACCGCATCATCTTCTTTCTGTTTCTATTCCAAAATTCCCAGGACACAATCTCTTCTTCCTTTCCAGTTCACTGACTTGGTACCAAGAATCCTGTCAGAATGGCTATTACCAAGATCCACGCTCGTTCTGTGTACGACTCTCGAGGCAACCCCACCGTCGAGGTGGACGTTGTCACCGAGACCGGTCTGCACCGTGCCATCGTTCCTTCGGGTGCCTCGACTGGTTCGTCAACCTCGAGGACATGCTTCCTTGACATATGCTGACGGATGAACCTGACAGGCCAGCACGAGGCTCACGAGCTGCGTGATGGAGACAAGTCCAAGTGGGGTGGAAAGGGTGAGTCTAGGAAGATATGAGGATGGTATCCATAAGAAATCCACACTGACCAGCGTTGTACTGTAGGTGTCCTGAAGGCCGTTCAGAACGTCAACGAGATCATTGGACCGGCCATCATCAAGGAGAACATTGACGTCAAGGACCAGAGCAAGGTCGATGAATTCCTCATCAAGCTGGATGGAACGGCCAACAAGACCAACCTGGGTGCCAATGCCATCCTCGGTGTCAGCTTGGCTATCGCCAAGGCTGGTGCGGCCGAGAAGGGCGTTCCCCTCTATGCCCACGTCTCCGATCTTGCCGGAACCAAGAAGCCCTATGTCCTGCCTGTTCCCTTCCAGAACGTGCTCAACGGTGGTTCCCACGCTGGTGGCCGCCTCGCTTTCCAGGAGTTCATGATCGTCCCTGAGTAAGTCAAGACAGAGGATGTGGATCATTGATTGATTGACGGGTAGACTAATTTTTGGAAAGCACCGCTCCCACTTTCTCTGAGGGTCTCCGTCAGGGTGCTGAGGTCTACCAGAAGCTTAAGGCCCTTGCCAAGAAGAAGTACGGCCAGTCGGCTGGTAACGTCGGTGATGAGGGTGGTGTTGCCCCCGACATTCAGACTCCTGAGGAGGCCCTGGACTTGATCACCGAGGCCATCGACCAGGCTGGCTACACTGGCAAGATTCACATTGCCCTGGACGTTGCCTCTAGCGAGTTCTACAAGCCCGACGTCAAGAAATACGACCTTGACTTCAAGAACCCTGACAGTGACCCCTCCAAGTGGCTCACTTACGAGCAGCTAGCCGATCTGTACAAGAACCTTGCCAGCAAGTACCCTATCGTCAGCATTGAGGACCCGTTCGCTGAGGATGACTGGGAGGCCTGGAGCTACTTCTTCAAGACCTCTAACTTCCAGATTGTCGGGTAAGTAGCTGAATTGGATGTTACACCTGTTCGGAGCACTTTTTTTTTTCGCTGACTGGGGCACCAGTGACGACTTGACCGTGACCAACCCCCAGCGCATCAAGAAGGCTGTCGAGCTCAAGTCTTGCAACGCTCTGCTCCTGAAGGTCAACCAGATCGGTACCCTGACCGAGGCCATCCAGGCGGCTAAGGACTCGTACGCCGCCAACTGGGGTGTCATGGTCTCTCACCGTTCTGGAGAGACCGAGGACGTCACGATTGCCGACATTGCGGTTGGTCTGCGATCCGGACAGATTAAGACCGGTGCTCCTGCTCGCTCTGAGCGTCTGGCCAAGCTCAACCAGATCCTCCGTATCGAAGAGGAGCTGGGCGACAAGGCTGTCTATGCGGGCAGCAACTTCCGCAACGCTGTGAACCTGTGATTTTCCTCCCAGGACAGGGCAATTTATAATAAGAAAAGGGCGAATACGGCAGGGGTCATTGCCCCAGGAGCAAGAGGTGGACCCAAGATAGGAAACCACTTAATTTCGTCCTCTTCCTTTAATTTTATTAATTACCATTGGACACGAAGATACGATCAGGGATGATGCATATGAACAATAGGACAACGCAGATGGTGAAAAATATCATGCCACTCTATCTCAGACTATGTCGTCGGCATCCATGGTCGTAAGATAGTAAATAGGAAGTGGCTTTGCTCCAATAAAACGACTAAACAGAAATGAAATTGATCAATAATGCCTTAAATTCCCTGTCAGCATCCCCAGACTCGATCTCTGCCCTTTTCGGATTTCTTCCCCGCCTTCTCTTTTTGGCGCAGTGCCACTGGTCGATCCTGGAGGGAAGAGGCATCACTGATCAGGTATGATTTCGACACGTTGTAGGGCGACCGCACCCCGGTCGAGATGACGTAGGATTTTGGGCATCCATGATCTCAGGCCTCATTCTTAGGCCCTGTTTCAGCCTCGGCCTTCTTCCTGGTCTTTTGGGGCCAGCGAAGCTGGGCTGACCAGAGTCACGTGACTATGCCCCTCCATCCGCCACTCAGAGGGCGGCATGCCTTATTTCTGCCCGCCGGCTGTGCCCGCTGAGGCTGCGATATTTCACTGTGTCTCCTTGCGCACAAAAAATTCCCCTTCTTTCCTGTCCTGAGTCTCTCCCCAGGCCCAGACACGCCTCGATCGTGGCACTTGTTGCCCGCCAGTCTAACGGCCATCCTTTCGATTTCGAACTCTCGAGACAGATAGGCTCGTCCGTTCCGTCCCGCCATGGCGCCTTCAAAGTGGGGTGTGTATTATCCTGTCCCCTGTGCCACGGATCGATCGCACAGAGTGTTTCCTGTACGGCTTTTAAAAAAGACAGATTGCTGATCTCCCGATATTGAATAGATGACGAGGAAGAAAGCTCTCCTTCCTCACCTCCTCCAATTGCCCCGCGACGCAAGTTCGACGACGAAGAGGAGGAGGAAGTAAGTCTTTCCCTTGCACCCTCGCTGTATCGCAGACATCCTATCTCCCTGCGAGAGCATCATACTAATGTATGTCTATCATGGTAGGTTCTCGACTCATGGGATGCTGCGGAAGACTCCGAGGCCGAGAGGGAAAAGGCCGCCCAGGCAGCTGCCGCCAAGGCAAAGGCTGAGGCCGAGGCTGCCGCAAAGAAGAAGAGCCGGACTCAGCGGATAGAGGAGCACAAGCAAGATCGGAGGCGGCGCGCGCAGGAAGCGGGGGAGGAGAGCAGCGAAGAGGAGGACGAGTACGAGCGGAAGGCACGGTTACGTCGGACGGAGAAGGAGGCGGACCTCAAGCACGCCGAAGATCTCTTTGGGGACCTTGATCTGAACCGGAATCGGGGGGCAGCCAAGGCCGTCGTGGTCGGGGACGCCTCGGATCCAACCAAGGCGATTGATCTCTCGGCGATGCCGCTGTTCAAGCCCACTAACAAGGAGCAGTTCACGACGCTGACCAACACGTTGATCCCGCTGCTGACGGCCAACTCGAAGAAGCCGCAGTACTCGCTCTGGGTACCCGAATTTTGCAAACAGCTGGTCAAGGACCTGAACAGCGCTGAGGTCAAGAAGGTGGCGAGCGTTCTGACGACGCTCAGCAACGAGAAGATGCGCGAGGAGCGTGCGGCGGACAAGGGCACCAAGAAGACCAAGGCGGCCAAGACGAAGGCATCTCTGCAACGAGATAGCACCAAGCTCGAAGCGGCCGCATACGACGAGGATGACTTTGACGATGATGATTTCATGTAGATGGAAGTCAGCTGGTCGAGTTTTTGTATCCTTCCTTGTCCTACCTACAAAAAGTCGTCCGTTATGTCCTTCATTTTCTAATCTTTTTGTCTTATGGGCATCACATCGTTGGTCTTCTGTATCCATGTTTTCCTGTTCTCTCTCATAGAATTCCATATATCCATCCATATATTATGTGTGGGCCAGAGAGCTAATTCATCTTTTGGGAGGTTGGGGGTGCCCAACTTCTTGATTTCAAATTTTTTTTTTCGCTTCCCTTCTTCATTTGTCTTCAATCGCTTTTTTTTTCTTATTTACATTCTAAGACGTGTGTAAATCGGCTCTGTTGTCGGCTGGCTGGCTACCATTCTACCATTCTCCCATCCTATTTACTTTACGAGCGTCAGTGATATAAAAGGTGTAATATTGGGATACAGTCGTTCATGCGATAAATGCAGTTATCAAACATAGCGAATCCATTTATTTCACTCATTCATTCGTTCATTTATTCATCTTTCTTTCTTTTCCCCCTCAAAATCCCTCAACCGAATCAATTATTTGAATGACAGATGAAGAATCTATCATCTGTTTTATTGTCTGTTTTTGTGTGTAAACAAACGAACATACCAAGTTTCAACAGAATTAAAAGCACTCACAGGAGTAAAAAAGTCTAGGTAGGATACAATGATCTTCTTACCGTGGATACTGCTCACATACCATCTTCTCCAACCACCACATAGGCCTGCATGGGTCTCGTCTTCCCCAGGCCATATATAAGCAAGTTTGGACCCTTGGTGGGATAAATGTCATCGAACAAGGTTGAATACAGATAGATCATGTATCATACATTCACCGACCGATATTGATTCTCTAATGCCTGAGTCTTGCAAAACTTCATTATCATCAACAATTGCCAAATAGGTAGGTACAGTACAGTATATACATAGGTAAGCAAATGTAATCAAATCAATTGGCTAGCTGTATATATGTGCATACATGCTGTACATGTACGTACTCATGCAACCACCCGAACCTTCATTCTTCGAAAGTTTCTGCTGCATCACATGCAGAGGCAAGAATTAAGTTCTACTAGGTAAGTAATGTACATCTATGGAGTTATGGACTACGCTGTGCTTTTCTTTTCAAATGCCGAAGTGTGCGTGTGCACTGACCTATCCTATCCACTTTTCATGACATTCATCCACGATGATTGGTAATCAATGAGAGAGGATCTTGCATATATAGACACATGTAAGTAAGTATATACATAACCTAATGCACCTGCACAAACGGAAAGGGGAGCTCCGAACCAATGCTAATTTAAGCTAGGATAACTATAATAAATATTCAATTTCATTTTCATTTTCTGTTTCTGTTTCAATTTGACTGGCTGGCTGGCTGGCTGGTTGTCTCAAAATTCAGAAAAAGAAAAACTAGATGAAGTCACACTGCATGTGCATACACGTCAGAATCGCGAGGAAGATCATGGTAATGACAATATAGAAGGTTCTCCGTAAGATGGTTTTTGGTCGTGGAGGACACTGCGCTGTTCACTCCTATCCACTATTACTGTATGGCTCTACAAACCCCGACAAGTTTCCAAATACTCCTCTCTTTCAAAGACTAGTTAGTGGAGCTAGCAAACAAACAATGACAACACATCACGTCGAGTCGTCATCGAAGACTATGCTCTGGATTGAGAAGCCAGGTTGCCTGAAAAGCCTTGCCTCTGAGCCAGCTCCGTCGAGAGCTGTAGTACTGCCCTACAAGCTTCCGTTGATCTCCCAGAGGCTCTGCCACAAAAGTAGGCGATTCGACTATTTTCGAGAGATATCAAGCCAAGGCCTCTCTTTCGTCTAGACGAAGCTATGCGAGAAGAAGGTAAGATGAGAAAGACAACACGAGGAAGGCGGGAGGGAATCTCGTGTGAAGTATTTTAAGTCGCTGTTTCCTCTTCTGTTCTGTCTTTGAAGCACCCGACGCGTTCCTTCTTTCCCCTTTCCGTACTTCTTCTGGTGCAAGGTCGTGACTCGTCCGACGGTTTCGCGTATTGTTTGTTGATTTTATTTATACCCGCCTGGGCACTAGATCTATTCCCAGAATGACGCTTGATTTTTCTTGCTGATTGCTACCGTGATGACTGCTGTCCAGCGAAGTCGTTCACGTAAACATTCCATCCGTTCAACCTAACGGAGACCTACAATAGAATTATAGGGAATGCCGAGCCCTGCAATGGCCTGCGCAATCTGGTCGACATTCCACGATGAGTAACTAACAGTTTGCTTGATATTTTAAGATGTGGGGCAGGGAGTCGACCCTGCTACTCCGGCAGAAATAAGCCTCACCGAGATTGAACATAAGGAACACATAACAGTCGCCCGGGGATAGAGGAGGGGACAGCAGGAGGGGTGTTGAGACTAAAGACTGAGTAGTTTAGAACGACAAAAGCTATGACAAAGACAATGCTAGTGCTAGAACGATATCAGTACTCCTTTCCCCCTCCGGTCTTCTTTCTTTAACCTCAAAGTTTGCATATCTCCTACTTGTAGCAATCACCTTGGGACCAGCACAAGACGAGGAATATGATCCTAACTTCACACGTGCATCTGGTTCGGAGATCGCAAGCCACCAAAAAGCTAATTGTGCCTCTGGCAGAATTAAAAGAGAGTTCAAGCAATGAGGAAAAGAGAGTAGCAAGAGGGAAATAAGAGTTTCAAAGCAGCAATCCTGCACCAGCCCTGGTTTTCGCTCTCCAATATCGAACTCCGCCATCCAACTACAGGCCCGACAATGGAAAACATCTGCCGGTTCAAACAATCACATGGTTCAATAAACAGGCTTTCATAATGAATCTCCAGGAAGAAATAAAAGAGAAGAAAAGACGAAAAAGCGCGACCGCATGGCCTTTTTGGCGATTGATGACCACCGGCCAATTTACGACTCAGTCGGGGCAGCAGCCTCCTCAGTCTTCTCCTCGGCGGGAGCAGCGGCCTCACCCTCGGCTGGCTTGTCCTCCTTGGCCTCGGGAGCCTCAGGCTCACCGCCGTCGGAGGAAGTCCAGAGAGTGAGGTTGTCACGCAGCAGCTGCATGATGAGAGTGCTGTCGCGGTACGACTCTTCGGAGAGGGAGTCGAGCTCAGCAATAGCGTCATCGAATGCCTGCTTGGCCAGATGGCATGCGCGGTCGGGGGAGTTCAGGATCTCGTAGTAGAACACGGAGAAGTTCAGGGCGAGACCAAGGCGGATGGGGTGAGTAGGGGTAAGGTCGGTCTGGGCGACGTCGGTAGCATTCTGATAGGAACAAATTACCGCGTTAGCCAGGGATAACATAACAGTAATTGTTGTGGGGAGAGGGTTACGCACCTTGTACGCTTCATGAGCAGCAGTAGCAGCGACCTTGCGCTTGTTGCCCGAGGCGAACTCAGCGAGGTAACGGTGGTAGTCACCCTTCCTGTGGAGGCAGTTAGTATCGGAAGCAAGAAAAAGAATCGACCCGTCCCATACATCTTGTAGTAGAAGACTTTGGACTCGCCATTGTCGGCCTTGGGGATGAGAGAGTTGTCCAGGACTTCCAGGACATCCTGGCAGACCTTCTCCAGCTCATTCTCGATCTTCCCACGGTATTCACGGATGATCTGGACGTGCTTCTCCGAGCCCTTGGACTCCTCCTTCTGCTCGATCGAGGAGATAATGCGCCAGGAGGCACGGCGGGTGCCGACCACGTTCTTGTAGGCAACAGACAGGAGGTTGCGCTCGTCCACCGAGAGTTCACCATTCAACTAAGCCAGTGTTAATTCAGTGTTTGGGGGCATACACACAGGGAATGGGGATCGAGATGAGGCCGAGAGAGGGAGGGGCCACGTACGTTGGCAACTTCCTAGAAAACGAGTCAGTCCCAGAATCCTCAGGAGCCAGATCGCGCATCCACAGCATTGGAGTACTGACCTTCATGTATGTGACCATCTCTGGCAGAGGAAAGACAGGTCAGTATGCCACCCAAGTCGTTACGCGTTGCTCACAAGGCTTACCATCGTAGCGCTCGGCCTGCTCGCAGAGCCTCGCGAGGAAAACCTTGCTTGAAGCATGTGAGCAGCGATGGTCGAGGGTCAGGGATAAACAGCATGGAAGGATTACCTCTCGCGCTAAAAGGCCAGAGAAGAGTCAGCAAGAGTGCCATGACAGCCATGGTTGTTTTGCGACAGCGTGGGAGGAGCGACACGCAGAGCGTGGCTGCGGAACGGTGCCGTACAACATAGGAGGGGTCATGGCAGTACAGTACATACCTCAGAACTCATTGTGAATGTTTGGATGGGAAAGGGTAGTAGCCGTGGTCGAAGAAACCGGAGGGGTTGGACAGGAGGATGGGCTGATGGAGGGGCAGAGGCGTTGGGAGCAGAGGAGCAGAGATGAGTCGGAGAAGAAAAGCAGCAGAGCGACTGATGCGATCCTCAGGCTGTTGTTGAGTGATGAAGCGCTGCCTGCGTGACGGCCAGCCTTAAGTTAGCCTCTTAGCGAGTCCAAGCGCGCGGGCGGCTTTGGGGTATTTGGCCTGCCTTGTCCGCCGTTTGCTGATGGGCGACTCAACGACCGCTTTATTGTGTTCTATTTGTTTTCGCGCTTCCTCTGATTTACCCTCGCGGTCCTTTGGTCCTGACTAACATGGCTTCTCTCCGTCTTGGTGTGCCCAACAAGTCGCCGTTTCTGTGTGGGCTCCCATATATAGCAGCCAGCCAGTTCTCTACAAACCCAACAATGCCCAAGATCCTCCGCATGTCGTCTCATTTTGCATTCTACAATTATCAGAGCGCGTGGGAGATACTTATCTCTACCAAGATACCCCAGTAATGTGAAAAGGAGGAGAGGTAACCTACTCCGGAGTACGGAGTATACTCGGTGCTCCGTACCCACAGGCACTTGAGGACTCACGGGAGATCTGCGTATAGAGTACGGAGCATCAACTGCTGGATTAATCAATTCCTGGGCCAGCATTGCGATATCGCCCTGTTGGAGCAAGCTGGATGATGCCAGCGTTGGGCAATGCCCTGTGATGGACCATGTAGCGGTCACCATCGAGTCGTGCGAGACCGTCAAAATTTTCTTTGACCCCTATCTGGTCATGCCAAAAAGGGCAAAATTCGAAGATCTGGCATTGACAACCCAGAAAACTGCTAATTACAACGAAATTGCCAGAGAAGTAGACACTGCTGCTAAATGGGCGTTACGGAGTATATGGTATGACTGTGTCCAAAAAACAAGTGAATCATCCTGATACTGTGGATGATCTACGCCAGTGACTGTCAACGCGCGCTTAATACGGTCCCTACATGGTGGACAATGCGTTGAGGACCTGAACCGTGCTAGTACTAGAGGAGAAGCTTAGCTTGGAGTCTTCCAACGCCATACGTACTGTTAAACTCGAGCCACGCTTTCATTCTTCAAGAATACACGAGTCTTGCATTGGATCCTAAGCGTACAGTCTGCAGGTAATTCTCGGGAGTCCAGCAAGATCCCGTTCTGGACTGCGGAGTGCATGGACTGAGAAGCATCAGAAACAAATCACGGATCGACCGCCTGCATATGCTTCATGACTTCGTCGTCAGTGCTCGCGGTCTTGCAGGGAGCAGCGCCGGAGTCGCCGTCCGCAGCAGCAAAGAGCGGTGGCTGGATCTGCAGGCGTCGCCTCACATGACCGGCCATCCACCAGGAAACGAGCTTCAGTGGATGGCCTGCGATCCTAAGGTTCCTGCAAGCATAATATGAATTAGTTAATGAGATCGCCGCAGCGTGGCGGACAGGGGATCCTCGGCGGCGGCTTCGTCCCAGATTATTCCCGCTGCTGAAAAGAACACGTTGAACATCCAGCTTCAGCGTCCTGTGGGGCGTGCCCTTCGTTTCCTTTGCTCTCGTTCGCCTCGTCCTGGAGCACGCCCCGCGCACTGATAGCAATCCAAGACAGCCCTGCACTCTTCTCAAGCTGCTGCTTGTCGTGTCGCTGCAGCGTGTCGGCTTCTAGACTGTTCCGCTCACAATTGGTCCGCCCCGAGAGCTAAACAAATACCCCGGCCCTGCCGATGGCCCTCCGTCACCGCGGGTAGAGGCGGCCTTTGTTCTTCTCTTGCTACACCAGCCCTCTGCCTTTCTGCGCTACCATGGAGCAGTCGTTTGCTTGCTCGTCCGCGGAGGTGCTGCGGCATTTCCAGGTCACCGAGGAAGCAGGGCTGTCGCAGGACCAGGTCCTGCAGGCGAGACAAAAGTACGGGCCAAATGGTAAGCTGTCCTCTGCTTGGGTGATGGGATGATGAATTGATCGGTGCTGACCTGGCCTTTACGCAACCAGCTCTTGCGGAAGAGGAGTCCACGCCGCTATGGAAGCTCGTGCTCGAGCAATTCCAGGACCAATTGGTCTTGATCCTCCTTGCGTCTGCCGCAGTATCTTTTGTGCTGGCGCTGTTTGAGGGCGCTGATGACTGGACTGCCTTTGTCGACCCGATAGTGGTACGTGTGTCTTGTCTCCTTGTCATTTGGATCAACTGCTAATGTTACGGCATGCAAATTAGATCTTGACCATCCTGATCCTCAATGCCATCGTCGGCGTGTCCCAGGAAAGCAGGGCGGAGAAGGCAATCGCCGCCCTCCAGGAATATTCGGCCAACGAGGCCAAGGTGATTCGCAACGGTACGCTACAACGAATCAAGGCGGAGGAACTGGTTCCGGGTGATATCATCAGTGTGGCCGTGGGTGATCGCGTTCCGGCGGACTGCAGACTGCTCTCCATCCAGAGCAACAGCTTCCGTGTCGACCAGGCCATCTTGACCGGCGAGAGTGAAAGCGTGAGCAAGGACACCCGGGTTGTCAAAGACCGCCAGGCCGTCAAGCAGGACCAGACCAACATGCTCTTCTCGGGAACCACCGTCGTGGCCGGTCACGCTACGGCCATTGTCGTCCTGACTGGTGCCTCGACCGCGATCGGAGGGATCCATGAGAGCATTACGTCCCAGATTTCGGAGCCCACGCCTCTCAAGCAGAAACTGAATGATTTCGGTGACATGCTCGCCAAGGTGATCACGGTTATTTGCGTCCTCGTCTGGCTGATCAACATCGAACACTTCAACGATCCGGCTCATGGCGGGTGGGTAAAAGGCGCCGTCTACTATCTCAAGATCGCCGTGTCTCTGGGTGTGGCCGCCATCCCCGAAGGCCTGGCCGTCGTCATCACCACTTGCTTGGCCCTTGGAACCCGCAAGATGGCGGCAAAAAACGCCGTCGTCCGGTCTCTGCCCTCCGTCGAAACCCTTGGAAGCTGCAGCGTCATCTGTTCTGATAAGACAGGAACTCTGACCACCAATCAAATGAGCGTGGAAAAGATTGTCTATCTGGACAGCTCCGGACACGGGCTGGAGGAAATCGACGTTGAGGGCACCACCTTCGCTCCGGAGGGCCGGTTGAAGCAGAAGGGCAAAGTCTTGGAGAACCTTGCCTTTTCGTCCTCAACTGTCAGGCAGATGACTGAAGTCCTCGCCCTTTGCAATGAAGCGACCTTGTCCTACGATGCAAAGACCGGATCTTACTCATGTATCGGTGAGCCTACGGAAGGCGCCTTACGGGTCCTCGTGGAGAAGATTGGAACGGAAGATCCTGCTCTCAACCAGCGTCTGAGAAGCCTTCACCCGTCAGAAAGGCTCCATGCGGCCAGCAAGCACTACGAATCCCGCCTGCCGTTGAAGGCGACGTATGAATTCTCGCGGGACCGGAAAAGCATGTCGGTCCTGGTCGGTGAGGGGAAGGAACAAAAGCTTCTCGTCAAAGGCGCCCCGGAGTCGATTCTGGAGCGCTGCTCACATGTGCTCCTGGGTTCGGATGGACCACGCGTGCCTCTGACTAAAACCCATATCGACTTGATCTCCGAAGAGGTGGTCGAATACGGCAACCGAGGCCTTCGTGTGATCGCGGTCGCCAGCGTCAACGACATCGCGGCCAACCCTCTGCTGCGCACGGCCCAGACGTCGGAGGAGTACGCCCAGCTCGAACGGGGCATGACTCTGATCGGCCTCGTCGGGATGCTCGACCCTCCTCGCCCGGAAGTTGCCGGTTCTATTCGCAAATGCCGCGAAGCCGGCATTCGGGTGATTGTCATCACGGGAGACAACCGCAACACCGCCGAGTCCATCTGTCGGCAGATCGGGGTCTTTGGTCCGGATGAGGATCTTCAGGGCAAGAGTTTCACCGGTCGAGAGTTTGACAGTCTGACGGAGAGCGAGCAGCTCGAGGCGGTCAAGACCGCGTCCCTGTTCTCTCGAACGGAGCCGGCACACAAGTCGAGGCTGGTTGACCTGCTTCAGTCGGTGGGCCATGTTGTTGCCATGACTGGGGATGGAGTCAACGACGCCCCGGCCCTGAAGAAAGCGGACATTGGTGTGGCCATGGGGACTGGAACCGATGTGGCCAAGCTTGCGGCGGATATGGTGCTCGCCGACGACAACTTTGCTACGATCGAGTCCGCCGTCGAAGAAGGCCGGTCGATCTACAGCAACACGCAGCAGTTCATTCGGTACCTGATCTCTTCGAACATTGGTGAAGTGGTGTCGATTTTCTTGACGGCGGCCTTGGGACTGCCCGAAGCGTTAATTCCCGTGCAGCTACTCTGGGTGAACCTCGTTACAGATGGCTTGCCGGCTACGGCACTGTCCTTCAACCCTCCTGACCATGACGTGATGCGGCGGCCTCCGCGGAAACGCGACGAGGCCCTGGTGGGGAGCTGGCTCTTTTTCCGGTACTTGGTCATTGGGACGTATGTTGGGTTGGCAACGGTTTTTGGATATGCGTGGTGGTTCCTGTTCAACCCGGAGGGTCCTCAAATTTCATACTGGCAGCTGGTGAGTCATGAAGGTCTTAGACTTGAGAACTCGCGCTGACATTTTACTAGTCTCACTTCCACAAGTGCTCTACGGAGTTTCCTGAAATCGGATGCGAGATGTTCACCAACGAGATGTCCAAATCGGCCTCGACGGTGTCTCTGTCCATTCTTGTGGTGATTGAGATGTTCAATGCGATGAACGCGCTCTCGTCGAGCGAGTCACTGCTGAGCTTCCCGTTGTGGAACAACGTGATGCTCGTGTATGCGATTATTTTGTCGATGACGCTGCATTTCGCCATCCTGTACATCCCGTTCTTGCAGGGATTGTTTTCGATTCTGCCGTTGAATTGGAACGAATGGCGGGCAGTCCTAGCGATCAGCACGCCAGTCATGTAAGTGCTACGACGGTCGTCTTTGGTTTCTGCCGACTGGACTGACAGAAATGGTGCAGTTTCATCGACGAAGCTCTGAAATATATAGAACGGCGTCTCTACGAGAAACGTGCGGCACCTTCCCAGCAGCTAGATGGCAAAGCCAAAAAGGCATGATTCTGGAGTCTTCCGTCGTCATGACACGACGAATCGATTAATAAGCTTGCTGCCCGCTGCGTCTAGAGTAGATTATAGAGGACGAAAAAGAAAAAAAAAAGGGAGAATCATGCAATCAAGATGAAGAGACTATAATCTACCTGTGTTGTGTTCTTCATTGGCGACGATATTGCATTGCATAGCTCCGTCGGATCAGATCAGGTAGCATAATAGACCTTCAATCAAATCCATGTTTTGTGTAGACGGACAAACTCAACCGAATTGAATTGACCTGACTGCGTTATTGTATGTTGTAATTAATTATGTAGTTCTTATCGTCGCCCACTCCCACAACAAACCGAAAAAGAAAAGAAAGATGGAGAGAGAGAACAAGCAAACGAAGTCTTTTTTTTTCTTTTCCAAACCTTTCGCAAAAGCAGGAAATTCCCTTGTCTTGCGACTGACTGACTGACTGACTGATGGTTGACGAGATATGTATCGAATATGAATTTCATTTCTTCTTTCTGCCCAACTGAATGATTCTCTCTGCCCCTCAAAAAGCTCCCATACGGAGTATGGAGTAACCTACTGCTAGCGCCTCAGGTTCCAGATCTCTGTATCGTAAGGCACCCTGTTGGGGAGGACGAGAGGAAAGGAATGGATGCTTTCGAAAACTTTCTTTTTGAGTAAAGTTGACTTTTTTGCTTGCGACGTCCATTTTGGATCTGGATGGTGGAGTAATTAATAGAAATACTGCATGTATGTACTGTACATACAGTACATACCTTGGTCATGGCATGCAGTCTTTAATAATAATTAATTATCAGAAGAGGGGAAAAAAAGGAAGAAAGGAAGGGTAAGAGTCTGAATATAAATATGTTATTATCTGTATTTCATCTCGTCTCGTCTCGTCTCGTCTCATCTCATCTCATCTCATTCCATCGTCTGGACTACTTGGTCATATATATATACTCATCTGGTGAATTCATTTATTCTCAATGTGAACCGCTTCTGCCGCCTCCAAATCCTTGGGAGGATTGTTGTCTCCATTCTCCAGTCCGATCTTGCTAGCGCCCACTTTGTCAACGGTGTCGCGGTACGAAGGGACAAAGTTGACTGCCATGGCGTAGGTCCATGCTACGACCATGAACTAATACATGAACGAACGTTAGGTCTATGCCAGGCAATGAAAAACGAAAAGAGTGGGGGTTGGGGTTGGGGTTTACGGCTCACCATCGTCGGAACAATCATGGCAAACCCTGTCGAGTTGCGCATATCGGCGACATGGCCCAAGATCGGCGGCACCACTGCGCCTCCTCCCACACCTGCCACGATCATACCGGACCCGCGCTTGTAGTGGCGGCCCAGTCCTCGGATTCCCAGCGCGACGATGGTCGGGAAGCAGACGGACTCGAAGAACAGGGTCATGAAAAGCATGGCTGTGAATCGTTCGTGAGTATATCATTCACCGAAACGTAGAAAAAATGGCACTCACCTATTCCGGTGTTGTTTCTCTGCGTGACCGACGCCGCTAGGCAAGCAACGACTCCACACATATACAACAGGAACACATATCGCGGTTTGAAAAACTTCATGAGCAGCGTTCCGGTAAATCGTCCCACCGCAAAGGCCCCCTGAGCCCCGGCAAGGAACTTGGCACCGGTAGCGCTGGACGTCCCTGGTCGGGTGTCGACGGCGTAGTTGATGAAATACCCAGCAATGGCAACTGCAGGAGAGTTAGAAACAAGGAAAATAACAATTACTACATACATCATTGCAACTCACCCTGAGCGCCGGTGTAGGTAAACTGGGCCAGAGCAGCATGGAACAAAGCATAGTGCTTCCAGAATGGCTTGTCTCCCTCGCCCACGTGCGTCTCCGCAACTTGATAGGCCATGTCGCTGTCGGTGACTTCAGGGATGTTGGAGAGGAAGAACACGCCCGCGAGGATGAAGACGAAGATGGCGATCGCGAGATACACCCATTGCACGCGCTTCAACGCCTCCACATCATCTGAAGTCCCCGTGAAAAAGACGTATGAGCCCAGAACGGGACCCACGACAGTTCCAATGGCGTTGAACGCCTGAGCAAAATTGATCCGGATTTCAGAGTACTTGGGTGGACCGCAGACTGCGTCCGTTAGCGAGGATGCTTTCCAACCTTTCTACTCGGGTGGTCTCACCAGACAGGTAAGGGTTGGCAGCCGTCTCCAAGGAGCCCAGTCCCGAGCCAATTATGAATGTAGCTCCGCAGAAACCTCCAAACGAGCGTTTCACACCAGCTGGCCACATGCAAAGTGCTCCAATGCCGTACACAGTCAGGCCAAAGATGAAGACGGTCTTGTAGCCGAAGCGACGGAGTATCCAGTTGGCATACCCGAGAGACGCGAGTGGATAGGCTCTGTTCGACAATTAATTAATCCAGTTGTTCAAATGACATTGCTCGAACATGCAAGGGGAAATTGATTCTTACCCGAAATATGCAGCCTGCAGACCAGAAGATCGCGTCCTCGTGATGTTCAGAGTATTCTGGAAATGCTTGTTTAACGTGTCAAGCAGGCCATAAGCAAACCCCTGATTTTGTCCTCGTAAGCATTGCTCTGTAGGAAGAAAAGAATCAATCATGGAGTCCACATGCGAACTCACCCATAAGAAAAACAGCAGCGTGACAATGGTCAATGGCCACAAACTCTGGCGTAAGGTGAGACTGGCTGCATTTGTGACCTTGTTGTTGTCCACCCGCAGGCTCGAGCGGTTCTTCAGAAACTGCTTGAAGCCCATGGTGGCGGTTCAGTGTGTTCTAACGACGACGATGTCCTTGAGAATGCTCCAGACGGGACCAGGGGTATAAAGGGTCAAGGAACTATACACTGGCAGGCACCAGATATATTATATATTATCGACATCCCGCGCGAGGGACGCGGACTGACACACACGGTCATGCCTGTTTCTTCCTCGGTGCATTGAAATGCGTGTAATACGGCATGTCATCTCCACTGGACATCCCCCGAAGTCCAATCCCCGCATCCCCAGATTCCCCAGATTGTTAGATCGCCACCAAGACGACTGGGCGTTCGGGGTAAAGAAAACCCGCAGAATGGGCGGATTCTTCAAGACTGGCTAGCGCCAGAAGAAAGCCGAACGTTGCCATGGTTCTATTCGATGGTTGTCAAAGTTAAACGCTCGTACAAGACTCCTTGGCAGCCAGGATGATGTCAGGACAATGGGTCATAGCGGTATGGAGGGAGGTGGCGATGGGAACACTGACCACTCCATCCGCCAATGTGATTGGGATCGCCGTGACGCTTGCCCGACCACACGGAAACCGTCCGAAGTTATTCGCTCTCAAGGTTGCCCAGAGGTCTCAGGCCGTCGATGTCCGTGTGGTCAACGCGGTGCGCCGAGAGTCATGGCGTCGGAGGAACGGCGGAGAGTCGCATGGGAGGCCTTGGCGGTCTTTTGCGGAAAAGAGAACTCCCCCGCCCCGTGACTTCGGAGATTGTCTGTATGCGGAATATCCCGTCGTTATGGTTATTGCACATTGCAAGAGAAGCGGGCAATCGCCAGATGGGGGATTTCCAGACGAATAGAGGAATTCATATACAGGACCCATATATGCAGAAGTGCACGGGCATCTGCATATCAAGCTCTACCTTTTAGATCCTATCTAGTATCTTATGTATAGGGGTCTGACCGTGCTCTATATACAGTACATACTGTCATTTCTTTTCCTCTTCTTACCTTTCTTTCTTCTGGTATATATATAGAAGGCCCAGAATAAAGGAATGGTCAAGTGCAGCAATTCACACTCACTCCATAGAACAAAGATGACCTGGGCTAGATGATCTATAAATAACCCTGGTAAAATATAATATAAACAAATCCCGTCGTCTTCTCTTTCTCCCAGATCAAGCGAGTGATCAAGGGAATATTCACTCACCCTCCTGATTATATTTTTTTTTAGTTTTGACTTCTACTCTCACATCGAAAGGAATGAAAACAAAAAAAAAAGCAGTCAAGATTCCAGTCATATTATCTATAGTCAACTATTTAGATACTCGAATCTTGAATTTGCCAAACCAGAAGGGGTATATAATGTAACAATAAATAATAACGACGAAAAGAAGATGAGGGCTTTATGGTTTTCTGGTACACGGTACAGGGCAATATCACAAGGTATCGAAAACACGAAACCAAAAACAAAGAAAGAGAAAGAGGAAAAAGAGAAAACGAAAGGCTACTGCTGGATAGTGGAATCATCATCACGCCTCCACTTTCTCCGCAGTAACAGGACGCTCCGCTGTATTCTCTTCATTTTCACCACCGGTCCCAGCTTCGGCAGTTTGAGACGATTCCGCTGGTTTGCTTTCTCCAGCTTCATCAATCCCATGGACGGGCTCACTCAGAGAAGACGAGCGTGGTGGGTGAACACCGGTAGGTCGCAGATCCGGTGCAGGAGCGAGAACGTGATCTTTCTTGTCTTGTCCCGCTGGTTCGCTATCCGAAGCAGCATTGCCAATTTCCCTGAAACTCGTCTCCAGAACTTCCGGGGAGCTGAAGGTCTCCACTTCCTCAATGTCTTCATCCTCCACATCATCCTCTTCCATAATGATTTGACTTTTCCGGGTCGTCGGACGTTTTGAGCCATTGCCCGCTTCGTCGCTGCTTGGCCCCAAGCCCGGAGTCCCCAATCCACCAGAGGCTACAAGATTCGCCGTGTGCAGCATTGGACCCTTGAATGCGGATCGTTTCCGTCGAGCAAAAACCAGCCCGGACGCGGGCGAAGACATTAACGGTGCGGGAGCAGTCTCGTTGAATACAGAGTAGATGCCAGAGTTCACATCGGTCGGGTCACGATTATTACCTGGTGGATTTCGAACCAGTCGGATATTGCTAGGAAAGCGAGAAGCAGCGTTCGGTGTGGTGGGCAGAACTTTGACCGAGGCATGTGGAGACTTGGAAGCCCTCTTTGAGGCGGTAGGCGTGGACAGGGTGTCAATGCTATTGGAAGAAGCCGACGACGCCTTCGAATGGGTGTGAGCGTGGTGAATACTGCGGATAGAGGAGACCGATGAGGATGTCGATTTGCGACCACGCAGACCAGCCGACGAGCGTCGATATGAATTCCGAGGAGTAAGAGGAGACGGCGACAAGGAATTGCGGTTGCTCGATGTGTTAGTATTCAGGGGCCCAAGCTGACGTGGAAACGAATTTCTATGATGAGAATATGAGGCACTGCTTGGAGCGAGACTGCTGGCATATGAAGCGCGCTTGATTTCAGTCGGTGTGAGAGCGCCGCCCACGTCGGCATTCGTCGAAGTCGCTGCCGCTGGTTTCTTGCTAGAATCATCGCCCTTCTCCGGACTCGACTTGTCCAATCGGAACTTCATAGAGTGACCGCCAGAACTCTTCGGAGTCTTGGGATGCGGAGACTTCGCTCGTTTCGCGGATTCTACCAACCAGTGTTTGAGCGATGCCAGTTGGCTGATTATCGGGTGGTGGTGACGGCGCCCAGAACGACGCTTAAAGATGCCATTGGAATGCGATGCTAGCTCGGGCTGAGAGGCGCTGACATGCAACATGCTCGGTCGTGATCGACGGTTTTCTTTTGGAGGGGGCACAGGGCGCCGCCTGGTCGAACTCACGGATCTAATGGAATCCTTATCAATCGGCGGAGGTGGGGCAGGAGAGTCGGGGCTCTGTAGGGCAATGGAATCCGGGAGCTTTGGGACCTCCGGTATAGAGAGCTGGGCTAATCAAAAGGTTAGTCACGGACGTTGTCTTTTTGTATGTCTCATATACATACGGTTTGGCAAGCTTCGCCTGTCTCTTCTCCCCCGGGTTTGCAATGTGTCAGCCGCCGTCCCTTCTTCGTTGACATCCGCAAGAGAAGTGGAAAGTCGTTCCTTGCGGCTGCTGGCAGCACTCAGACGGCGCAAGCTCTTTGCTTCGGCTTCTCTCTCCTTTCGCTTCCGTTCTCGCCTCCTTTCTTTGCGTTCCTCTTTCTCAATCAGCAAGGCCCACCATCCAGCGAGAGCATCGCATCTCTGGGCCAGAACATTTTCAATGACCTGGTCGATGTTGACACCGGCGCTCTTCATGCGTAGTAACGTGTTTTTTTCTAACTGGGTTGTGAAAGGCGATGGTCGTGGTCTCTCCAAAATAGCTTGCTGTTCGGCTCCATATTCTCCCAAGAACGGATGTGCCAGGATCTCGGACAAGGTCGGTCTTAGAAGTGGCCGCTTCGAGAGCATTAAGCTGATCAGCTGTCGTGCGTCCTCAGGGAACCTCTCATTGAACTTGGGCTCCTCTGTGAGGATTTTTGCCTTCGTCTCTTGGTCGTCATCTTCATCGAAGGGTAGTTCTCCTGCCAACAAGGCGTACAGAATGATTCCCAAGCTCCACACGTCGACCTTCTCGCCGGCATATTTCTCGCCTTTTAGCATCTCTGGCGCGCTATAGCAGATGGTGCCGCAGAAGGTTTGCAGATAACTAGCTTTCCCCTCGTATTCTCGAGTGAACCCGAAATCGCATAGTTTCACATTCTCGTGCTTGTCGAGCAGAATGTTCTCCAACTTCAGATCCCGATGGACACACGACTTGCTGTGTACGTATGCGACCGCTCCTGCTAATTGCGAGAAGATCCGTCGGACCTTTTCAACAGGAAGCGGGCCATGGTTAAGGAGATAATTATACAACTCGTCACCTTGAGAGCTCGTCGCATTAACAATGGTTCCGCAAAGAAAAAAAAAAGTCCACAAGGCGTTTGTTTCATACCTGGACAATATTCCAAGACTAACCAGACCAAGTTCTCTGTCACAATGACCTCGTACAGGCGAGCAATATGAGGATGGAGGAACTGTCGGTGGTGATGGATCTCACGGGCGAGATTGGCATCCTCCTTGTTTGAGGACTTGAGCACGACCTATTACCCGGTGTGAGTACGCCGCGAAGCCAGCTGCACCCTCCTTCTCCTGATCTCTTCATACCTTGGAGCCATTGGTGAGTTTGTGTCTGGCGAGGTAGACCTTGCCGAAGGAGCCTTTCCCGATGAGACGCCCGAGACTATAGTTTCCTACATTTCGCAGTTCCTTCGACGAGAATTCTCTGTGTACAGCATCACACGTCAGCCATCTACGATAAAAGAAACATCATGCGGAGATACAGTTTGAAGGGGGAGGACATACTGGAGCAATTCATTGTAGGAGTTGGCAAGCTGTGATTACCAAGAAGTCAGCCGTAGTCCGTGATGCCTGCTCTTCCTTCAATCAAAGCTATCGAGTGGTCTCCAGCTACGCCCACGCAGCTGGCATAACCTACTCTTGGCCGTCATGAAACAGAGGCTTTGTATGGAAGAGAAGGCAGACCTTTTCCTTCTGAGAATAGTTCTCCACCCTCGTTCTGGCCGACTGCATGTGTCAGGACTGAAGAACGCGAACCGCTGTTTGCTCGGATTGCTCTCCGGCAGCTTCTCGTCTCTGCCGGTTTTCTTGGTTATCGCTCAGATAAGAGATACTGAGTCGTGTACGCGTGCCATCCACGGGAAATCAGAAGACAGGAGGATGAGAAATCGACTCGAGGCGACGGCTATAAGGGAGGTATGAGTCTGGTGACGACGGCAGGCCCGAAACGCGCAAGCAGCCTAGTTTGCGTACGCTCGAAACGTTTGTCTTAGGAGAGATGGGTGACGGAGGAGTACCGCGGTAAACTGCGGGTGGGCCACCTTCTCAAGTGGAACAAGTCGATCGCAGGGCGAGAGAGATCGGCCGGGTCAAGGGAAATCGTTTCGTCGGGAGGAGTCGAAATGAGCGCAATCGAGGGAAATCTTGTTGTTGATGAAAAACAGAGGTCAACCAGCCAGTTTCCGTAACAAGACAGCGGGGATTTCCCGTGATTTAGGAGGGAGGGAGGCTTCCAGATAGGTGTGACAGCGTGATAGGGCCAAGTCAGACAGACTAGGGGCAAGATTGGTCGACACAGGGGAATTCGAACGGGTACTGTTATAATAAGAAATGCTGATTATTGGATCCAGCTGAGCTCCTCATTAGTAACGGCCGTCCACCCCCCGGGTCGGAGTCGGCAGAGTCGGACGGCGCGGTTCGTGACGGGTGGCTTGCCTGACAGCCGCTGGCTGGCACTTGGAACGTGGGCCTAACTTGAGGATAGCCCAAGTTCTAACCCGCCCTTGCGGATTCGCTTCAGGAGTCAAGCTGCCTGACCAGTTTTGGTCTTGCTCACATTTGAGACCCCAGAGATTATGTAATTTGCAGCTAAGTGATCCCCGGAGACGTTTCATGCAGCGCCTATGTTTCATACTGGTGCTAACTATATCCTATCCTATCCTATATATATGGTATGGATTGACAGTGTCTAACCGTTTATCCTCTGGGACTGTTCGAGAGTTGAGAATCGAGTATCCTGCAAAATTCCCTCTCGATGGCAGACGCGACACATCTCCCGCAACGCCTGGTTGGCTTCAGGTCCAGACCGATGTGGGAATATGATGTGGCTTCTGGACCTACCTACTACTTTATTGGTCGTAGCAACTTCAATCTTGCTGTCAGCCTGTCCTGGGGTGGATGCACAAGACAATCGAGCGAATAGGCGAGGATTTGCGAGCATGTAATCGATTCTCGTCGATTCATTCACCCGCCACTGACCATTAAGTAATCTATTTTTCCCTCTGATGTACTGCTACCGGTGTCGCGTGGGCGTCCTCTCGCCACCATGGAAGAGACTTGACACGATCAAGAATCCGTGAAGGGGCGCAGAGAGTTGGATCCGCGCTCTCGAGACCGGGCTCATTGAGCAGCGCAAGACTGACCAGTCCCAAGTAGGAGTGGAGAAGATCTGGATTGACAAGAGGCAGTTAGAAATTAGAAAATAGTAGAAGCCGGCTTGTCTTACCTGGAAGCTCTCCGACTCCTTTCCCAAAGCCGCCAATGAGGTGTTGCGTCTTCTGGAGAAGATACAGGCGGTTGCCAGATGCATCTATTAACGAAAGCCGATCCAGCATCTATTGCAACAGATTTAAGGCATTAGCAAGTCCAGGAGAAGAGGGACAGGGTGGCTCCTTACTGCGAGGGCGCCTGTCGCCCAAAAGCAATAGCATGTATCAGCAATTTTATTGGACCGTCCATTAAAGCCAGCCCACGTCAATGAGGATTCAGTGGGAGGAGATAGATCGGGCAATGCGTGAATTACATCGTTTAAAGACGGAGCTCTCACGCCGTCTTCGACGTGCTGCACTGAGTCCGGTTTGGCATTATCCTTATCTTCGTCTTTGTTGTTATTGTCGTCTTCCTCCTCCTCCTCTTCTTCGAGTTCCGTCGTTTGTCTTGACACTAGCCATTGCAATAAAGACGCAAACTCTCGCGTATCTGGTGAGAGCAGATTGACTCGTCTGATGGCATCTGATGTCTGTCTCAAGAAGGATAGGGCACCCACGGCGCAATAAGTCAAACCCGCTGTCGTGTGTTGTGAGCGAAGACTGCAAATAATACGGGATCAAGGGTAGGACAGAGAGGCAATGAAAAGAGATGTAGGGAATACGTACCATGGGCTTCGCAAAATGGTGCCTCAGCCATGCCGCCATCATATGTCTTTCAAGAAAAGAAGACGATCAGTTGTGTACAGGAATGAGGTAAAATCTCGTCTTACCTGGCATGATTCAATAAACGATATCAATTTTTCCACATCTATATCCTTTACGTCCCCGAGGTCATCGTCGTGCTTCCCTCGAAGCAGATATCGTATACCGGCGGCACAGCAGCAGAATCTCAAATCTCTGCCGCCCTCGATTTCTTCATTCACACCAAGGATTTCCCCGAAACTTCCATCTGCGCGCTGCAACTTAGGAAGCCATTGGAGGCACTCCTTTCTCTTCACTCGCGAAAGGTCATCGCCTAGGATGAGCAATGTTTCCAGCGCAAAGAAAGTAGCAGGAACGTTTGCTGGATCCCAGGCTTCGTTCTCGCGCGTACGCCTCTCATCGCCGAATCTGGTGCCCGTGAATCCTCGGAATCCTCCAGAGGGAACCTGACAATGATACAGCCAGTCGATGTAGCCTTGTCGCTCCTCGGGCGTGGTGTTGGACTGTAGAGCCCCCAGCAAGTCCAGTCCAGCGACTGTAAAGAAGGCCAGGAGTACGCGATTCGAGTCGCCTGTCGTATACTGGTGGGGCAGGACGGTTTTGAGACAGCGCAAGAAGTATTTTATATGACGCTCTTTGTTAAACGCAGGATCTGCCATTTGTTCTTTTTCAATTCATTGATCGCGTGAAATTCAAATAGGAAAATAAAATAACCACAAGATGAGAGTCGCAGCCTCGAATTCTGGCTTCCCCAGGCGAACGATCAATAATCAAACCATAATAAAGGTTGTGCAACGTGGAGTAAAGTATCAGAGTCCAGACAGCCGGCGCACGGCCCTGTCCCGCAGCTCTTGCTCAACTCCGAGCGCCGGGACTGGCCTCCGGGGGAAACAAAAAAAAACAAGGGCAACACCACCCAAGAAACAAATGAATCTTGTTTTGGTCGCTGATCTGTATATCAGGAGGAAACAGATCCCCAGCGATGGCTTTCTTCTCCTCTAAAACTCTGATCCAGGCGCATGCCCTGTTCCTTTTTATACTCGCTGTTTACCTGACCAAGTCCCCTGATGTCATCACCGACTCCGATCTGGTCTTCATGCTCGGGGAAGCGATGAAAATCGTATGTCCATTTCTAAGACTCTTACGAGGATCTCTTTGCGATACACACGGCCTGAATCAATATTATCTACTGATCTCAAATCTATTACTACATAGGATGTCTCCCCGACCTTCTCCCGCCCGCAATCCCCCTTTGCCATCTGCGGCGTCCTCCTAGTCGCCGATGCCCTCGTCGACCTCATCGTCGTGACAAAAGTGCCCCAGATCAACGAGATACTGGGACGAATGGACGCTCTCAACTCGCGATCATCACGGTTGAGCACCAATGCCTCGTTGGGCCGCGCCAATCATCCATTGACGGTTCGCATCGCCGCCCTCTACTCCGAGATCTGGACGTTGCTCGCCGCATCGCGCTTCTGCCTGTTCTTCGCCGTTTCGTTTTTCATCTACCAAAGTAAGCCCGGTGCATGGGGCTTTAGCTCAGAGACCACCGCCGGACGATATGGGTCGAGAGCGGGCAGTGAAGCGGCGTCTGGGCTGGATCAATTGAAGAACCGGGTAGTGTTTACATACGGATTCATAGAAATGATGTTCTGGCTTTGGGTTAGTTGTTACATGGCCTGTTCTCCTCCATGCTTCTCTTCCTATCTGTCTAACATGCTCGTTTCCTCTGCTGCAGATCCTCCTTACACTCCACGACGAGCGACGAGAAGTGGCAGCCCGCCTCGCAGCCGCTCAAGCTGCCGAACTTGAACAGACTAACGCGCAGTGATTTAACCTCACAAGCTCCTGTACAACGTACATTGTTTTGACCGACACTATGAGATATAAAGCCGCTGTTCATTTTTATCCACCTCATACTATCTCACTAAAGCGACATGACAACAGTCTTAAAGCTTGTCTAAGTCGTAAAACGCGCAGCACAGGACGACAGACCGTCACAAGCGATAGTATTATTATTACCTGAAATATTGACACAAATGAATAACGCAAGTGGGAATCATCCGTCGAAAAACGTCGCTGCAATTTTCATCACCAGTTTAACCCGCACGTACACATCATGCTTTCTTCTGGAGTTCCACGTCGATTGCTCGCTCAGGCTCCCTATCAGATGCCAGAAGCGTGAAACACTTCAATTTAGGCAAGAAGCATGGCAGCGAGTACAGCCGCAGCGCCCACTCCCGCAATAACACCACCGTTCCGGGTCTGCGCAATTGGGGCAGCAGCTGAAGTGCCTGATGGGGTAGTAGCAGAAGCACTGCCACTGCTGGTATGAGAAGCGGTCGTTGAAGAAGCGCTGGGAGCCGAGCTATTCGCAGTAGCCGATGCCGTAGTCGATGCCGTCGTAGTCGCCACTACCGAAGTCGATCCAGATGCAGCGGAAGCCGCGCTAGCCGTAGCGGTGGTGGTGCAAACAGCAGTTTGAGGCAGAGTGGTTACTCCAGCAATGCCGCAGAGGTTGTCTGCGAACTTAATCGTCGCTGTAGCAATGAAGAAGTCAGCACGATTCCAGCCGTACCAAAGCATTGGTTGGAAAGCAAATCCTAGCGATGAATCAATGGCAGAGGATAAGCTTACCATCTTGATCCGCCGGGCTGCAGGCCTTAGCCACGCAGCAGGTGATGGATGCGATGAAAGACTGGGCGCTGCAAATGCACTTTACATCGAGTCCGCATTCTTGGGGGATGGCATTGGTCGCGCAGTCTTGCTATACGCACGCACATTCAGTTAGATTATCGCAATTATCACTCTCGACGAGAGGGATTGCACTAAAAAAAAGATTGGGAACTCACAGCACACTTGGGAAGGTCAGACAGGCTCTGGGCGGCAGTGCCAGCTGCCAAAGCTGTCAAGGCCAGGGAAATAGCAGCCAGCTTCATTTTCAAGTCGGCAAGGTATTGATTGAAGCAGTTTTCGAGGAGCAGGCTGCAATGTCAGAGTGAGATACGAGGACTGGAGACAACAACAAGTTCAATTAAGGGAATCAGTCCCAGAGTAACGGAGACACAGCAGGTGGGGAGTAAGGAGTTACTGGGGACAAGCGTGGATGGGGGCTTGCTTTGGCTACCGACCTGGGCAGCTAGTCCTTTTATGCAGACTTGATCTTTACTTTAACCCGCGGCTACAACCTTAGCAGTAATAACTATTAGAAGGCGGCTCGGTGATGTAACTTGCTCAGACACACCACTGCGGAGAAAAACCCTCCGGCCGCTTACTGCCTCCCATGAGGACTTTCTGGGGTCGCTTGGGATGATGATCCTGCCGCGGGTTCCAGGGCCGGGCAGTCGCCACCAATGCGGAGTAGCCCGTGCAAAACTGGCAAGACTCGATCAAGAACGTGCCTGTTCACTGGTCGTTTTGCTAATGATTAGGTGTTATTTTGCCTCCAAAGGATCTCTTCCCACCCAAAGACCGGGCCAGTGCGTCGATTCTGCCAGCCCAAGTGGTCTCCCAAAAGCAATGGACGGTAGCAGTCTTCGAGACGATTTACACAGAGTCTTGGAGGCCAGTGCAGCATTTGCATTATTGCCCCTACCGAAGTCACACATAACTGCTTCATTATTGGATTGCCCTGGGCCACGGCATTCGTGGAAGCGCGCTAACGGTTGATGGAGAAGCTTTCGGCAGACACCTGCGTGAAGCTGTGAAACCCCAGATCTCACCATGGACAGTGCGGCAGCTGCTGCTAAGGATGTAATTTTTTATTTGAACCCGTTGATGATTATTGACTGTCTTCTCTGATTTGACTACGGTGTTGGACTGTACAGTACATTGGAGGATTGCTCGCCAGCCCCTAGCGTGCTGTGTACTCCGCAAGTGCTTGCGCCGGGGCCTCTGCGAGCCGGGGACCTTCCCCGCTTGGAGAAGCAGCGGTGGGCCGTGCTTGGCCCGTGAGACGGGGGTTCGCGTCCACTGGCCAGCCTGCTGCCCGCCCAGAACATCCCCAGCAGCAGCCAGAGAACACTCTAGAGATGCAGGCTGCCCATGCTTAAGAATGCGAGTATTCCGTATACAGCGGAAATCGAGTCTGATTCAGGCCCTCTCTTCAAATGAATAATGCTGTGCTGCCAGTACATCTATGTCCAAGGCGAACGTCTGTCTGCGAGACAATCATCCCCATGCTCCCCAAGGTAGTACTCCTAGTTACTCCGTACAAACTAAGCTCGCAGCTGGTTGGTCTGTTGCCGTGGTCTCGTTATTCGGCAAAATAGGATTACGCGACGACTCCCCATGATCCAATAATCTGTCCTCTCCCGATTGCAGATCACGCTCTTTCCCATGCTCCTACTCCGTAGTTCTCAAGACTTTCAACAGGAATTCCTCTTGTTGTCGTTCCATCTGGTCTTGTCATAACTGCTGTATGGAATAATCAGTTCTTCCAGTGCCCGATCAGCACACTGGATATTCCATCCCGTCTGCGGCGAAATACAGCGAGGTAGCAGGATTCTCGATGACTTGATCGCATCGTACCCAACTCCTGACGTACGAGTGTCTTTTTTTCGACAATCGTCAACGCACATCGCGTTTCTCGTCCATCCGTTGTTGTCGCGACTGATCTTCGCGAAGATGGGGCTGGGTGTATTAGAGGACAAGAAACTCCAACACGTTCCTGGTAAGAGAGTTTGACCAAACAGCATGTATTGCTATTTACTGGATTCCTTCTGCCACTTTTTCCCCTCCTTTTGCTGATGATGCCATTGCTCGTAGGAACGTCGTACATCCTAGACGATGACAGCGCGCCTCCTCGCGATGTCCCTACTGAACCATGGCTGAAGTACGACCGCTCCGGGCCGGTGCCTATCATTCTCGTGCCCCAACCAAGTGATGACCCTAATGATCCTTTGGTATGAAAAGATCCATGCGTTGTTTTGAAGTTGGACTTCTCTAATGATCCTACAACAGAATTGGCCTCTGTGGAGACGTGATCTCATCCTCGGCATTCTCTCCTTCGTCGCCGTTCTCTGTACGACAATGAGCCCGATTATGGCCGCCAACACCTTTACAATCTCGTTCAACTTTCACCGAGACTTCACCGACGTAGCCCTGCTGACTGGATATCATCTTCTGGGCGTTGGCGCTGCCGGCATTCTGTGTGTGCCTACGGCAAGGGTATGGGGCAAGCGCCATCTGTTCCTCTTGGGGAATCTCTTGATGGTTATCAGCTGCGCTTGGGCTGGAGGCAGTGGGCAAAACTACCACAGTATGTTGGCAGCACGGGTATTCCAAGGGTTTGCCCTGGCACCATTCGAGGCTCTTGTGAACGCGTGCGTGGGGGATCTATATTTTGTCCATGTGAGTCCGAAGTTGATGTCCATGAGTTCCCTTCCGAGATGTCTGTTGTTGACATGACGGTGGGGGGATAGGAACGCGGGAAACGCATGGCACTGTCGAACGTCGCTCTCTTTGGCGGCGCCTTTCTGACGCCCGTCTTCGCTGGCAAGATTACCCATTCGCTTGGGTGGCAGTGGACGTTCTATTTCGTTGCCATCTTCACCGCGGTCGCTCTGCCATTCATGTTCTTCTTCGTCCCGGAAACCGCATTTCGGCGTGCGGACTACCTGAACACGGATTTTCTGGGCGATGCTGATTCCTCTCGGTCCCTACATGGCCCACCTCGTGGCGGTAGTGATCAATCTGGGTCACCAGTTCCGATTCACGATGCAGGGAAAGAGAATGGCGCTTCTTCCAAGCCCGGAGAAGGGATGGCATCGCCAGCGGTTGACGAAAAGGCCGAGCGTCCCGCCGCTCATGAAACTACGGCACCGGAAATCACCACCCGGGACAAAGTGCCGTTTGTGCAGACGTTGAAGCTTATCAATGGCAGGAAGACGGATGAGAGCTTTTTCAAACTCCTTCTGCGACCATTTCCGCTTTTTCTGCATCCTGGGATTCTTTGGGTGAGTTGCTTGGTGGACCGTTTCGCTTGGAGGTCGTACACTAATCAGACTTGGCAGGCTTGCTTAACGCAGGGTGTCCTGATCGGGTGGACGGTGTTCATCGGTGTCGTCCTTGCGAGGATCTTCATGGGCCCACCATTGTGGTTTGATGAAGTCCAGACGGGTTACCTCTACACGGGTGCCTTTATCGGATCCATCCTAGGGCTGATTCTTTCGGGCCTTCTGTCGGATTGGATCAACAGGATCATGATCAAGCTCAACAAGGGGAAATATGAGCCGGAGTTTCGTATCCTGCTCGTCTTCTTCCAGCTCATTTTTGGTGGAATTGGGCTCTACGGATTCGGGATCGTCGCCCAGGATATCCAGCGGTACGGCTGGCTGCTCGCCGATGTGTTTTTCATGTTCGTGATCATGGGGATGGTGATGGGCGCCGTCGCTAGCGCGCTGTACATTGTTGATGCTCATCGTACGTAGCCTACTTTTCCCTGCGAATGTGGATCGCTGGCTGACATTGGGGCCGTGGCACAGGCCAAATTGCCGTGGAAGCATTCACGTGTCTGCTCGTGTTCAAGAACATTTTTAGCTTCATCTTGACGTTCTTTGCGTACGACTGGCTGGTCGTCAAGGGTGGTTCCCGTGAGCCTTTCATCGCGATCGGCAGCATCCAGGTGGGCGTTTGTCTGCTGGCTGTGCCGATGTGTAAGTATCCTACCGTGGTAGTATGACCGGTGATTGACTTGTTTCTTCTAGATATCTTTGGCAAAAGAAACCGCTCTTTCTTTGCGCGCCATGACATTTTGAAACTCCTCCATTTGTGGTAATACGGATTTGCTTGGAGTCCTGACTTGGACTCCTGTCCGGAGCTACAGGGGAAGGCTTGTTTGATTTGTTGCTCTCTAATCAGTGGAACGTTAATTGTAATCTGCACTAACTATCGCATACTGCGCCAGATAATGATATCCCAGAAAGCGTCATCATCATCTTCTACTTTTTTTTATTGGTTATGCAACGTGGGAATTAATGTCTATGAGTGTCTACGAAGAAATACTGCTGTTTACGGGAATCGAATCGCACGACTCCTTGAATCGGCTAATCGCATCTATCCCAGTGGAGTGGAGAAGACCTAGAACGATGGAGTTTTGACGAATGCATGCGAGCATCCCCCTCGGATAGCCGCGGGCTTCCGAAGAAGACCGGGGCGAGTCCCGTGCCACGGCGGGCCCGCTGGGGGTGTCGATGCCCCGTGATTGAGTTGCATCCCATCCAGATCTAGCTGCTTTGCACGTTCCAATCAGAGGCCCTGCCTGTTATCTGGTTCTGTGTCTGTGATACCTGTTGATGACCTGTATGTACTTTTTTTTTGTACTGGAACGAGAGCGCTCCTTGCAGAATTGACTGTGTGTCTGCATGATTTTCTTGACTGCTTTTCTTGCATTATTCATTATTCATTATGCGTCCTGCAGCGGGATGGAGTGGGCGATCGATCGATCTCTGCGGGCCAGACTGGTGACATCACGCCCCGCGAGTGTCGGGCCAATGGGCTCCTTGCATGCCGCATTAAGACTGCCTGCTAGCGCGGCTTGGCGCAGCTGTCAATTAAGTTCAGCTGCAACGGCAGGCGCGCCCCAACGACGTCACCATCGACTCGCCCAGCAGACAAGCTTCCGGCCCCTCCAACAGCTCGCACGCCAGCCATCCGCCTTCAGCCTTTCTTCTCTTGTACCGCCTCGTCTTGCTCCTTTTCTGTCGCTTCCTTCGCTTCTTCCTGCGAGGCCATGTCTGTCGTAGCTGGGGTCTTGTTGCTGCTTTTCCACGACCTCGCTCCCGCTCTGTCAGCATGGCGACCCGTATTGCTACTCCTACCCCTACAGCGGCTGCTGCATGCACCTGTTGCGATTCATGTGCTGCGGCAACAGCCAAGTTAGCAGACCATGGTATGTCATCCGGAATGTGTTTTCCAGTCTTGTTTCCTTTTCGGGTGATAGCCCCTTCAAGAGCTGATGCGCGTTTTCTTTGTCTTCCGGGACAGCCGCCGCCACTGCTGCGTTATACGTGACGGACCCGGAACGAAGACGCGCTGGTCGTGACGCTCTGGAGCCGGAACAACCTCAATGTCAGTACAGTCTGTTGTCTTGCTGCCGGCTATATCTTCTCCAACCCAATGTGAGATCAAGTGCTGACGGTCAATCACAGCTACCCCTCCTCCTCCCGGTCTCACCCTAGCCTCTGCAAGCACTGCAGCCAGCCTTGCCCATGCCAACAGGAAACCTGTCGAGTTCTGGAGACCGGGGAAGCAGCCCGATGCGGAGAAGGCAGCCTTCCTCGCCAGAGGATATCAGTTCCTTGAGCCACCGGCCGTCAGTACAAAAAGCTCCGAGATCTACAAAGCAGCCCTTTCCGCAGCACGGGAACGTGTGACGGCTCCGTCTCCTCGAGTTGGAGCTCCTGACCAAGGTTACGACCAATCCGCGGCCGGGCAGGTCATGATGGCCGGTGGACGGGGAGCAGAGGAGCCTACAGCCGTTGAGACGGACGGAGGTGCTCTCACTGCCGCCACTGGCGCTGTGTCCACTCGATGGAGAGCGGATTCCGCTCCCATAAAACCCCAGTTCAGGCAACAAGCTGCCTATGCTCTTACTGCTGCCACCATTTCCCACCGGGCCAGTTTAGGCGCGGAGGTTCTGGACAACCTTGAGCCGTCCATGGAGGCTGCGCGGATACACAACATTGCCAAAACAAATGCCCAACTCTACACCGCATCTCCCCCGGTGGGGATTGAGGTGGCAGAGCAGAAGCAGAGAGACACTCTTCGAGCGGCCGCAATTTCCATGGCCAAAGATATGTACGCGATCGCCACAGCCAAGGAAGGACCCGAAACGTCAAGGCCTGCAAGCTCTCTCGCTCAATATCGTCAGTCCCGCCGGCTCTCTCAGTCGCAGTACTCCTGGACGACCGGTGATGAACGCGGTGTGACCAGAGCGCCGCTAACTCTGCATGAAGCAGCCCAGAAGATCGCGACCGAAAAGCTAGCTAAGATGCAACGGAATGACCTGGCTTACCATCAGGAATACTACGGTACCGGTCCAGCTGCCCGATCTCGCTTGACGGTGTCGCGCCGGCTGAGGAGAAGGACATCGAGCGAGAGCGATGCGTCTCGAGCCGATTGGGAACGATCCATGCAGATCCGGCACCAGATGTCGTCCTTACAAAGCCGGCTTCATGAGATCGATGAGGAGAAGAAGAAGCGGGACCGCGCAGAGTTGATGGAAATTGCCCGGAGAAACGTCAATATGGCAATCCAGGACTTGGACGAAGAAGTCTACGCCCGAACGGGCAAGCTGTCTCCAAGCATGCAGCGCGAATGGGAGGAGAAGGCCCACGAGCGTGCAAAAGCGGAGATCGAGGCTCGACCGTCTACATTTGGAAGGATCCCTATTGGTGGTCAGAGATACATGGACGAGGCTGATGTGGAAGAGATTGCCCGCTCGCGGATTCAGCCCACCCTGGACGAGATCTCAGAACGAGTCTCCGAACAAAAGGCTCGAGAGATCGAGCGGCGGTTGGATGAGGAGAGGAGGCAGATGCTACGGGAAATCGAGCGTGAACGAGAGTTTGACATTAGGGAGGAGGAGAAGCGGCAAAAAGGTTTGAATTCTTCTCATAGCTAGTTTCATACGTTGTCGTCTCTTCGGAACGCTGACGGTCAGTCAGCGGCAGCGAAGCAGGCCGAGAAAGAACAGAAGGCCGCAATGGCGGAGAAGAAACGCCTCAGCAGGGAGAGCCAAGGATTATGGGGCGGAGTATTCCGAAAAAGGAAGCCGTCTGAAGAGGCAGGTGTTACGACGGAGAAATCGAGCGAAGAGATCGAACGAGAAGCAAGTGAGCAGGCCGCCGCCGCCGGCGCCGGCGCCGCCGGTGCTGATTATGAGCATGACCACGAGGACGAGCAAGAACAGCGCCGTGTCAGTGAACAGGAACAAGGCGTTGTCCAGGGGCCAGGCACCGAGCAGGAGCAAGGTCGTGTTCCTGATGGAGACACCGTATCCCAGACCTCCAGACCTAGGAGTACCGCTGAAGAGCTTATTGAAGCGGCGTCTTCTGCTGCACGCGAAGCAGGAGTAGAAGACATTACGGCGGTCACCGGTGCTGCTCAAGAAGCTGCTGAAGCTGCTGCTCAGCCTCCTCCTGACGGGGCTGACGAGGCGGTCACTGAGACAGCTGCCGTGGTAGAAACAAGCCCGATTTCAACAACACCCCCGAAAGGACAGTCCCGGCTGAAGATCTGGTTCAAGGCCAAAGTCGGCCGTCGGTCGAGCAAGCCGCCTCCACCAGAGCAGACACCTCAACCTCAAGAGACTCAGACAGAGGAAACCCCGTCCAGAGTGACCGGCGGCCCTGGAGTCACGGCCGACATGCCCGGAGGTCCCCTCAGCTCGCACCCCGTCACCGAGCGGGATCTTGCTCCGAGTTCGAGTGCGCAGACGGAGAATGAGAATGATCATGCCGATACACTGTCCGAGACTGTCAACCATATCCGGCAGTGGAGCACCTCGACAGCTGGATCTGATGCTGCTGAAGGGCAGAAGGCTGAAGGTAGCAAGAACAATAACAATAACAGTAGCGGCAATGGCAATGGCAACGGCAAACGGCGTCGTCTCCGGATGAGCCTCAAAAACATCATCACTCACAAATCTTCAGACGAGCCTAGTTCAGCGGGAGCAGCCTCCTCATCACAAATTTCTCCAACAACGCAGGCTCCGACATCAGCAGCAGAAGCAAGGAAGAACGGTGAGACCGCGTCCGCTCCGGCTGCGGCTGCGGCTCCCAGTCGTCCATCGCCTTCTCGTGCCAATACGATGGAGCGCGATGAACTGCGAGACAGCTTTGTCGAGGAGACCTTGCCGCCGCCTCCGAGTCTTGTTGGCGCGGCAGGAGGGCGACGGAGCTTGAGCTCGGCTGCGTCTGCGTCAGGTAGGGAGAGTCGATTCTCTGAGGATCTGTAGTGGTCAGCTGTTGCGGCGGTACAATTCCTTCATGTCATCTTATTCCAATTCCGCCACTCAACCGCAACAACCTTCTCGAGGGAGCTTTCGTGAACGATTTAAGGCGTCACTTCTCTTCTTTCAAAGGGCAAGAAACACAATGATATACTGTACAATATCCACTGTCCAATTTTCATTTCTATACCATTCTTTTTATGTTTTTAATGGTATGTGATGGGAGGTATTATCTATGCAGTATCGTTGCTGATATGATTCCTTTTTCTTTTCAATACATTGTCACGCGAATGTCCTGTCCTGTCCTGTCCTGTCCTGTCCTGTCCTGTCCTGTCCTGTACTATGTGCTATCTTGCTCCTTATTTAAAGAAATACTAGAGTAGAAACTATGGTGGTGGTGGTGGGAGGGTCATATGTGATTTTTCGTTAATTAACTGGGCGATTATTCTTGGTCAATTGATTGTTCTGCCTGCCTGCCTTTTTGATTCTGATAATATTATTCAAAGATAGTCAAATGAATTATCTATATTATTAATCTTATTATACATACATGTTATATCTTGCTTAGATAATTAGTATCAATCAATCAACCCCGCGGATTGCTCCGTCCCTTTTTTCTTCGCCATGGAAGGGGAACATTTCGCCATCAGAAGGAAAAAAAGGAAAATATTAAATATTAAACAATACATCAAACCAATAGTCGCTTGCGAATCTTTTCCTGCTTCTCCTTGCTCACTCCTATCGAGAGTAGATAGCCCTCGACTCCGCCGTACTTCGTGTCTAGGTATTCCTTGATCTTTTCCGCGAACCCGGGCGGGCACTTGGCGTAGTTTTCGTCCAACCCGATGGAGCGGATCTCTTCCATCCGCTCCTCGAGCTCCGGGATGAGCTCCGCCTCGGACTTGACGTAATCCCTGGAGATCGCATCCAGGGGCACGACGCCGGCCAGCAGCAGCAGCATGATGACGATCAGACCCGTCCGGTCCTTGCCCTGCGTGCAGTGGATGACGGTGGGATACGTGTCGTCCTCGGCGAGAAGGTCGAACGTCTCGCGCATCTCCGCGGCGCCGCAGTCGAGTGTGTCCTGCGCGAGTCCGATCAGGCCGCGCGGTTTCATGACTTGGGAACCGATAATTTTGACCGCGGCAGTCCGGTATCCGGATGCGACGAGACCTAATACTTTTCTGGAATAAATCATCAGCATCAGCAGCTGCACGTCTAAAATGCTGGAGAGATAGGCACATACATAAAATTATACCAGTCCAAGCGCCAAAGAAGCGCCTTCTCAAAAGCCCGCCCCGTGAGGCTGATCATATATCGACGTACGCCTGGGAGTTCCAGCAGATGTTCATCGGGATCCGCCAGCACGGCCACGTCGGAACTTTCCAACGACAGAGCGGCCCGTCGTTTATTGGTAGCCATGATATGTTCGGTACTGACAAAAGGAAGTTAGACAAAGAGATCGTTTTTTTTTGGTTCTTGATTGGCAGCATACTTGGAGCGCAAGTCGATGATAGTGGATATGCCTAGTTCATCCACGAGACGGAGCTTATCCCTCTCGGATGCATCATCTGGCTGGATGACACATATATCATCAGCAGAGATTCACAACAAGAAGATTTGAGGCATATCTACCCTTGCACTGCGGAAGAGGATGCCTTCCTTGATAATTCTAAGCCATATCGTTAGTCATATGAACAGAAATATAAACGATTAAATCGGATATAAGAAAAGGAGAGAGGGAGAGAGAGTCGCACTTAGATCCATAGATATCGTTGATCGACCTCCCCACATCCCGGAAATTCAATATATCATCAAACGGGCGATCTGGAGAAGCCAGATCGAAGCCCGGAGATCCCGTCATTGATGATAATGTTGTGGTTGTAGATGTAGATTTGGCAGTAGACTTGGTAGTAGATTTGGATTTAGAGGTCGTCTTCTTCTTCGCCATTATTATGTATTCAATTCAATTCAATTCAACAAGAAATCAGAAGGGGTCGGAGGTCGACGCGTCCAACACGTGCAAAAAGAACGATGACAGTCACCATCTAAAAGCGTGCTGGCAGGCAATGCTAAGCCTAAAGACCAGGCAGGATACAGACGTGTGTATCGTACAGAGTAAGTAGTATGGATGTAGGTAGGTACTATCTCATCATAATCTCCACAGCTCGACCGGATGGCATCTTACTCGCGGAGAAGAAGAGAGAAAGAGAGAATAATAGCGCGAGGTGCATTTCTTAGTCGAAAACAAACAACGACGACGAACGACGACGACCACGCTCCGGCCTGGTTTGGTTTTGTTGACGTGTCTGGCGGCGGTCTGGACGCTTGTTGGCGAGGCGAGTCGGTGAGCGACGTCTGTCGCGAGTGGGGAAAAGCCGAGTCCGGCCAGGAATCAATGACGTTCCCGTGAACGCTGCCTTGAGCTTATTATTATTATTATTATCCTCAGCGACATGGTCTCTGCTGTTTCTGCTTCCTTCTCAAGTAATCTGACCAAGAAGCTTCCTGGCGTGTCTAATGTCTTCATTACAGGGTCTGTATATAGGCTGCCTGAATTTGCGAAACGTGATCAACTCGCAATTTCCAATGAAAGGCATTGCGTACTTCATGTCACTTATGAAATTCTAGCCTCTTTAACCTTCCTCCACGTACTGCAGGTTGTTGTGAAGGGGAATGGAATACATACAACCACCCTTTGAGCAATTCGAGTGTCCCTTCGCCTTCCTCTTCCCCAGATTCGTAGTGTACTCCTCGCCCAGCGCCTTGATCTCTTTGTTACCAAGCATAGCCGACGTTGCCTGCAGAGACGAGTCCACCGCGCCGGCAATCCACGTGTGATGCTGGCTGAGGTGCTCGCCGGCAAAATAAATATTACCCTCGGGCTGCTTTGCAGCTTCATAGAAGCGGCTGAACTGTCCCGAAAGCAACATGGCATCGCCCGTCGCATATTCCTGACTCCAGCAGACATCAAAGGCGTCCACGAACTGGCTGTAGATATCGACGCCGGTATCAGCGTAGAACCGCTGCAGGTCATGTAATACCAGGTGAATACGTCGATCTCTCGGGATCGAAGATATGCGATAGGCGTCATTCATCCAGCAATAGAGGAGTAGCACTCCTGAGTCCGGGCTCCCCAGGTTATTGGAAGGATAAATAATCCAGCGGAAACGGAGGTCCGTCACACTCTGTCCCCCAAAGCATGGATGAGGCAACTTCTCCCAGAACCGGGTCCGGAAATGGAGACCAATCTTGTAGAGCGCATAGTGTGTGCTCCGGATCGCTTGTTCTTTCATAAATGACCATGTCGGCCGTTCTCGAATGCTCTGGAGAGTAGCTGGAGGGATTGCGAGGACAACCATTGGTATAGATCCGACCTCCTATTCGAGAACCAGCCTCGTACACTGTCACTCGATGGCCTTCGCGCTGAAAGAGCAGCGCAGTGTAGAGGCCGGCGATGCCAGCTCCAACAATGCCAACATCCATGACTATGACTTGAGAAGTTCACGGGGGCCAAATCTAAAAGACTGTACGACAGAGTAACAGGGAATAGAAAAAAAATAAGAAAAGAATGGAACCTAAGATTGTTGTCAGCTCAGGTTGCAATTGTTAGAGATAACTATATACGGAGTACATATACTGCATAATGGATGCATCTCCCCGTCGTCGACGAAGACCAAGACAGCGGGGAAAGATGTTTATCCACGTATACAACATCTCAAACCAATGTGGTGTCAGCAATTAGTGGCACAATTGTATGTTAAACCTGCAGGGCCAAGGCAAGAATTGGAACGGGGCATTCGAAGCTTCAAGCCTCCTGAGGTCGAGAACTCGAGATGCACGGCAGCTAGTCAGCCAACGGAGCATGAAGCAGGGGGACGCTGTCCCAGGATAAGCCAGACCTAATCACAGCATTTGCAGGGGTGATGAGAAGGTTTGAACAAAGAAGACCGATCCGAGAGTTCTTTGTTGAGGGATGAATGCCCGCTCATTGTTCAGATTTTGTATGGTAACAGAGAATCCATGATGTGTCATATGCTCATAAGCGTGACTATGAGCTATGAATAAAGCCTTTCAAAACCACTCAATAAAGCGCTTTTTCTGCCTGCTAATTGTAATAAATAATATATATATACGCACTTGAGTCGTAAAACAGCACCTCTATCAACCATATCAACCCTAAGAATAAATGTTGTCGGTTAATGCCGTAACTATGTAATCTGGATGGAATTACATAATGTATGTAATAAAGACTGTAATTGCATTACCGGTGGGGCCAGAACGTGACCAACTGACAGCTCCCCAAATAGGAAAGAGCGGGAACTACCTACCTAGGCAGGCGCTAGGGCGATCAGCACTGCTCCAAATTACTAATTGAGACAGCTGATGCTGCGTACATAACTCATCTGCAACCTCACCCTGCGTCTGCTAGCAGCAAACCTGCCAGACTAATCGAGACTGCTACTAAAGAGTGCGGTTCTGGATCAATTCAATTCCTGGAACAGGAAGGTGCTGATATCGCCGACTTAAAAGTTCCTCCCATCGGACTTAACCTCAGATGTTGGCCGGCAGTTTCTCTATTTCTAGCGCAGTCGAGTCTCAATCTCCCCATTCAATAATCGATTTCGAAGGCTTCGATGGGTACGTCTTCGGACCGTCCGCAGACGACGGACGTCGAGAAGCATGACTCGCCGCCAGACAATGCTTCCGGGGAGAAACCTCGCACTCCCGAACAGCAGATCAGCCTGGATGATCACGAGAATCCAAGGAATTGGAAGAGCGGCAAGAAATGTAAGCAGAAACCGCTCTTTGTGAGGGAGATAGCCCCGTTTGACGACTTCATATCCAGGGATTTGTACCTGGATCCTGGTGCTGATGACAGCTTCTATCGCTTTCTGCTCGAGCATCTACACTGCCGCAATCACGTCTATTGCAGATTACTATAGGTGCTCTCCGATTGTTGCCACGCTGGGCATTACCACGTTCCTGCTGGGGTTTGCATCCGGCCCCTCTTGTTTGCCCCTCTCTCTGAAGTCTGGTGCGTGCAAGCTGGTTGAACGATGCGCTGTAATAACGTTCTAACTAATGTGGAGCAGGGGTCGTAACAACATTTTCCGATTCACCCTGGGGATGTTTGTGCTGTTCCAGATTGGTTGTGCGCTAGCTCCAAATGTCGCATCCCTAGTGGTATTCCGATTCTTCTCTGGATTCTTTGGTTCGCCGACTGTCACCAACTCAGGTGGCTCTATCACAGACATTTGGCCCCAAAATAACCGGTCTGTACCACTGGCATTATTCTCGGCAGCCAGTTTTCTCGGTCCAGTAATTGCGCCCACAGTCGGGGGTTTCATCTCACAGTATACCTATTGGCGGTGGAACTTTTGGGTGGTGCTGATTTTCAGTGAAACCATCTATGTCGCTATGGTACTATTTCTTCCAGAGACCTATCCTCCTAAACTGCTCCGGGACAAAGCGCGCCGCAGACAAGGTCCAGATGCCATGCCAAGCACAGTCAAAGAGCAACTCTATACCAACCTGACTCGGCCGTGGATAATGCTGTTCACTGAGCAATCCTCTTCCTGCTGTCACTATACATGGCATTCATCTATGGCATTCTCTACCTGGACTTCACCGCATATCCTGTGGTTTACAAGGAATCTCGTAACTGGCCCCCTGGAATCGCCGGCCTATCCTTTCTAGGCATCTATGTTGGGATGGCCATTGCTACCCTGGGATCCCCTTATGTGAATCGAATCCATGGCATCTATGTGTGCCGGCTGGGAGGCCCACAGCTAGAAGCTCGTCTACCACATCTGGTGGTCATATCCTGGCTTATCCCCGTCAGCTTATTCTGGTTTGCGTGAACAGCAACTCCACCTACCCATTGGATTTCAGGGATTATTGCAGGGGCTCCATTTGGTTTCAGCCTTATTATGCTGTTCTTGGGGATCACATCATATCTGACGGACTGCTATGGCCAATTCGCGGCCAGTGCTCTTGCAGCAAATGCAGTCTTACGGTCTTTGTTTGGAGCGGTCTTTCCACTCTTTGCCAATGACATGTATGATGCGCTGGGGGTGTCATGGGCGACCAGCTTGCTTGACTTTGTGGCTCTAGCGATGACACCACTCCCATGGCTGTTCTACCGCTTTGGCCCGCAGATCCGAGCAAAGAGCAAGTATCATCTGAAAACTCGAGAGTATGATGTATTGTGAGTGCAGGCTTTGAGCAGGGGTAGCGTTCTAGACAATTCTTTGTCTAGCACCGTACTTCGGCCGCGAAATGGAGAAGCCGGTGATTTCAGCATCCCTGCTGCGCTAGAATTGTGAATCTACAGGATAGATAGCAGCCCATCATAGAGAAGCCTTGAATATTTAAGGAGTGATAAATCATTCATCCTTGTCCCCCAGTTCTCTCAGTTAAACAACAATCACTCTCCAAACAAACCTTCAAACCAATTCTCTATCAAGATGCCTTCCCCTCCTGTTGTTGACTTTAGCAACTTTCTGTCTGGTGACCCAGAACGCATGCAGAAATGCGCGGATGAGATTGGCCATGCCTGCCGTACCCAGGGATTCTTCCAGATCATCAATCACCCCATCCCATTCAGCCTGCAGAAGGAGATGTTCAAACTGTCCAAGGAGTTCTTTGCCCTGCCGCTTGAGGAAATAATGAAGCTGGATAAATGTGTGCCTGCTCCATCCCTGGTCACATGTTCGAAGAAGCTAACAAATTGCAGCCCAAAATGACCACAACCGTGGCTACGAGGTCATGTACGGGCAGATGATCGAAAAAGACACCATGCCTGATCTCAAAGAGGGTTTCTACGTGGCCCAGAATCTGCCGGCAGACCACCCTCAGGTGCTGACAAAGAAGTTCGCCCACGGACCCAACTTGTGGCCGAGTCTCTGGGCGATCACTTCCGCGACACTTGCATGGAGTACCTGAACCAAGTCACTGCCCTGACCGAGAAGGTGATGCAGGCGATTGCCATCTCGCTGGGCTACGACGAGCACTACTTTGACGAGTTCTGCACCGAGCCCATGGCCTTCTACAAGCTGCTGCACTACCCCCCGCAACCGGAGGATGCCCACCCCCTGCAGCGCGGCATCGGTGCCCACCGCGACTTTGGCGTCATCACCCTGCTGCTCCAGGGCGATGTGCCGGGACTGGAGGTATGGGATGAGGAAACACAGTCCTACTACCCGGCGCCTCCGGTCGAGGGCGCGTATGTGGTCAACCTGGGCAACCTCTTCCAGCAGTGGACCAACGACAAGTACATCTCGAACGTGCACCGGGTCATCAACCGGTCGAACGTGGACCGCTACTCGATCCCGTTCAACTACAACGGCAACCCGGATTTCATCATCCGGTGCATCGAGTCGTGCCGCGAAGAGCCGGAGGACGAGAAGTACGCGCCCATCTCGGTGGATGACTATGTCAGGCAGAAGTACAAGGATGTCTACGGGCGTGTGCGTATTTACACTGTTGCGGAGAAAGCTGTGGCGGCGTGAGCAGCTTGAACTTTCGTCATTACAGACGGAGCACTCGTGTCCGTATTGGGCAAGATACGAGCGCGCTTTGTCCTTACGCTCTTGATATGATAGCAATGACATGTTATGCCAAGATGCAGGATGGACCTGTTGACAAGCGCTTGGCGTAGTTTAGTGCTTAAGGCACTGAGTACATTTTACTATAGCCGAAGAAGTTAATAGGTATCTTCGTATTAGGGAAGAACTAATTCTAGAACTCTGGTCCCCAATAATGCTATTTCATAGGGATTCTGTCAACGCTATATTCTTCGCCATGCTCGTAAAGCCCTCATGGAAGACGATTCCAATACTGATGTATGATTGATCATTCGCTCGTGTAGGGGGCTTATGGAAGCTGATACTCAGTGACGTACTCTGTGAGGATTAGAACCCTATAAGGCTGAGGCCTTACATTAGTGATTAGTGAGCACTACAACTACCTATACCTATTTATGGGTGAAGGTCTTTTGACCCCCTAACGTAGGGCGTATAACCTTAATTAATTAAAGTATACTCCGTTAGGCTAGGTATTCTGCAGAGATAACCCTCGTCATAAGATAATCAATAATGTGGGGAAGGAGACAAATTTCTGCAGATTGTCACCAATTGTTATACTCTGCAGATAGGGAGTGATCTGCTGATCATTGTCAGGCTGGACTCTGTACTCCGTACTCTGCACTGTAGACTAATCACGTACCCTGATTAATTTTGAGTTTTTTTTTTCTCGACAGGCTGTTAGGCGACTACAACACTAAATTATTATGTACATACAGAGTAAGCTCGCGTTAATTCTTTGACTTTATATTGCAGAGCTCCATGACCTCACTAGCCTATCGAATGTACGGGAGTACTGCGCATGCTAGACGGGCTGTCCAGTTGATAGCAGGGTATAGCAGCAGTACCCCTGTCTAATATAGAGTAATACTAATTCACAACAGCCTAAATCGCTCAATTTGAGTTTAAGGCCAGACCACCTGACCCCGTCGTTCTTCGCAATATATGCCTGTCAAGATGACTGTATAACCCTAAATTTGACAAATTTCTTCACCAGCCCCCTTGCGTACGCATATGCATTCGCATGCCTCATGATGGAATTGGAATTGAAATTGGAAATTGTTAGCTTGGCTTAACCCAGACTAGCTGAATTGGATTCATCGCTGCCTGCTGTGCTGTGCAGAACTTCTACAGTACATTACGTATTTAGTTTATGTAGTTTCAAACCAAGACTCTCGTTGAATTCGAATAAGGGCTACTCTCCATCCTGATACGTTTTTTATCTTCAGCCCCAAATGACGTCAGACGTCTGTTGATGAAATATATGCATATATCATATGATTGTATGATCGTACTATCACTAATACATGTGACAAGTTGAGGTTGGGGATGGGAAAAAAAAATCATTTCACTTCCGTTTTTGAGAGCATACACGGTAGATTCACTGGAACTCGAAGAAGAAGAAGAAGCAGTTAGTTGATAAGGGTACCGACTACTGACTAGAGAAATCAAGTCAAATATTACTTTCTTGAGTTGGCAAATGCCTATCATATGCGAAAAAAGGTAAACGCCAACTTGTATTATTTACTTTAAATGCTCTGATTAAAAGAATTCGCTTATAATTATATTTTATATTATATATCTGATATGACAGACCCTCCTCGAGATTTGAATGCTAGTTGAGTTGCTAGACGATTAGATAGGCTGATCAACGGTGACAGCGGGCCGAGCCGGGCCTAACATGTTTTTAGCCCCGTAAGGCTCTCAGATTAAGTTAGGCTATGCAATCCGAGTGAGTACTGAAATTGCAAATTGCAAGTGCAATTGAAACACAAATTTGAAATTTTAGACTCCGTCTGCCGCTAGTGTCAGGTCACATGACTGGCAACTCAAACTCACCTGACTGGTGCTGTTTGCTGTGCGTGACCAAGCGGGTGATCTGATATCAGGTCATGTGACTCAAAAAAGGTTACTTCACATTCTCGCCGAATTCCAGATGGAATCCAGCTGTGAGCGGCAAGGTCAGACAACCTGCAAAAATCCCTGAGACCTGTTGCGAGGTTTCTGGGTCACGTGTATTTCCTATTATGGTTAGCGCGTGTACATACCGCTTTCCTTTTACAGTAAGATATGTATACCCCAGTGCCGGCAGAATAGAAGGTTTTAATTGGCGGAGTCCTCTTAGATTCAGCGAGTCTGGGACTAGTAGTAAATGTATAGGGGGAAACCAGAAAAAAGAGAGCTTCTCATCGATCTCAAATGTTCGTTGACTTAGTTGACTGTTCGAACTGTCGTTCTTACTCTGGGTATTGGATAATAAATGTCCCAAGATGCTTGATATCTATGCCGTATAGGAATGCGTGCTAAAGAGCAAGGCTCCCCATGCATACTTATGGAGGCGAGTTGAAGGTAAATTTCAAAGGCGCACAATGCAGCGCATTTTTCTTTCCCTGTACTCTACAATATTGTACAATGTGCTGTATGTCCCGACCCTGTCTATCATGAACCAACCACCCTGCCCTCTATCCCTCGAACCAATGCAAACGCTGATGCAAACCACTTGAAAATGAACCAAGATAACCAAGAAACAAAACCAAAACAAACAACATAGACCAACCCAATGATCAGTTAATGACACGCGTGTTGAGCGTGTTGAGTATAGGCAGCCAGAATGCAAAGTAACCTCACCTCCCGGGTATCGTATCACCGCCGATGCTATCCTAGAACTCGTGTATCGCGTTTCGAAAAAGATATTCACAGTACCTCCAGAAAAAAGTGAACCAAATGCATGCATGATATCGTATTACACTCTACCCGTGCCATCCGCTGGCCGTCCGCTGATCACCAGTCCACGGTAGGTGTTGGCATTCTCGCCCATCGAGTCGGTCGTCAATGGCTGCTCGTAGGTGACGTCTTGTTGACGGCCACTGACGGCAGGAAGAGCGCCGGTAGTGGAACTGGGCGTAGCGTTGGCCATCTGGAGGGTCTTCTCTCCTTGTGGCACATGGCGCCGCGTGCGGACGGCCGGTAATAAGTCAATCACGAACGAGAGGACGTAGAAAGTGAAAATCAGGGCGATAACTAGACACGATTAGCATGACCAGACCAAGAAATGCTGGCGCGCAACTTACCCCATTCCAGAACCGCCGCGACATTTTTACGATGCGAGTGCTTCATCAACACCCCAAATGCGATGGAAAGGGCCACCTCGACGACGATAAACCCGAGCTTGATCCAGAAGCTAACAAACAGAATGATATGCAACCTGCGGTAGGCCATGCCTAGTCGCAGGTACTCTAAACAGATAAAGATGGCGCTGATCAGGTAGCCAACCCTATGACTCGAAGTCAGCCAGTCCTCAAATTCAATGCAAAAAACAGCGCACTCACATGAACATGATAAGGAATCCATCGTGTAAATGCGGGTGATTCACCGTATCAAAGATCGACAGCAGGATCAGCCCGAGCGCGCCCGCGATCGAAAAGAAGATGGACGCCACAGAGCAGAACTTGTCGAAGAACCCCTTATTCCGCGCCAACACTCCCCGGTGTCGCAGCCAGCGCTCCGACAGGAAGGCCAGATCAAGGAACACGACGGTGACGGTGCTTCCGGCGATGAAGAGGGGTTTCAGACCTTCGGCGCCAATGTCGGAAATAAAGCTGACAGTACAGTTAGTTCCATTTGCGAGATTGCATCCGGAAATGCCGGACATACGCGATCGTCTGCCGGTGAGACATGTTGTGGTAGTGCGGCGTCCCCTGAGCAGCCCATGTGCCCAGCATTGCGACCAGCATGGCTAATTGTAAGTATAAATTGTCAGCTGGCTGTGCCCTTTGAGCGAACCCGACGAAGTTGCATACCTATCCACATGCAGGCCGAAATGACTGGGAAGAGCCAGTACGATATAATCCACATCTTGCAGTTCTGAATTTCTTTCTTCTTGCAGTTGTGAAGGTGTATTGGTAAATGAGTGGCACTGCGTGTGTCACTATTAATCGCTGCGCGGCCCCATCCACAGCGAATATCGGCGTGTCAATTGCGCCAAAAGGAAGACCCCGGCGAACGCAGCAACAAGAGCAATGCCAAAGCGAGCAGGGAGCAGTGGCAGTAGCAACTATTTGAAGTTGAACGCAGGACCGGGGTCTCCTGGAGGTTCTCAGGCAGGGAGAGTCGGGTTCGGCATGCCATGAATTCAGGGCCGACGTCATGACGCCGAGACTAGCTAAGCCACCCGCTGCAATGCGCGCAAGCCTGCCAACACCCTCACAGCAGTCAAAGCCACCAGGACCATCTTCAGGTCTTCAGCTGTTCTATTTTAATTATCATTCTCACTACTCTGTATACTCTTGTGACCCACTTGTTACACTTTTTCAGCCATCTGCCAAGGCACAC